TTAGAGGATCCCATTGTAGAAGATCTTTGCGCCTGAACGGATCGTCATTTTTGGCTTTGGCTTGCGGGTTGACGTGCTTCTGCGTGTTTGGCGGGATTAGAATGTATGCTTGACCTTCCCGTATGGTCTCGTACGTCTTGCCCTCGTGCTCGACCATCTGGCCTGCTGCAGGCTTGGTGGTGATGGGGACTGTTGTCTGTGAGGCCATACTGCGGACGATAGGAGAGAATGACTGGTGCGGTATCCAAAGAACTAGCCGCAGACTCCTACCTGGCGCACTATGGAAGGGTTTGAGAGAGTGGACGACTCGGATGGGGGTCTGCAGCATCAGAAGAGAGTGCCAGTGAAGCTTCACATGAAATCTGAACTGGAGCTCGAAATACTGCTCGGATCGTCGGCTCGGCATGTGAGACGGGCCGATGGCGACAAAAAAGTGTATAAGCCCTAGAATTTCAGATCTATTCTCAGGTTCCAGCAACAAACGAACGTCGTAGACAAAATGGCTGCAATTCAGCTGTCCGTCGCACTGCCGACGCTGCCAGAGGGCTGGACGGCCGAGAAGGACTTCAAGCCTGTCGGCCATCTCTCTGAGCCGACCCAGCGCGCGCTCGAGCCCGTTGGTCCTCACTTTCTTGCCCACGCGCGCAGAAAGAGGCATAAACGCACATTCTCCGAGGTAAGACATAGCTGTCACGACACAGTCACATTGCGCAAAATGCTGATGGATTTCTAGGACGAGAAGCTGCAAGCTGAAAAGAACGTCAAGAAGGTCGAGCAGGACCAAGACGATGACATCGACAGCGACGAGGACCCTATGCTCCTGCAGCGTGAGGCCAAGGACTGGAAGACTCAAGATCACTATGCTGTTCTTGGTCTGACCAGATGGCGATACAAGGCGACCGAGGACCAGATCAAGCGCGCACACAGAAAAAAGGTCTTGAAGCACCATCCCGACAAGAAAGCCGCATCCGGACAGGAGGAGAACGATCAGTTCTTCAAATGCATTCAGCGTGCCACCGATATTCTGCTCGACCCCGTCAAGCGCCGCCAGTACGATTCTGTTGACGAAGCTGCCGACAAGGAGCCTCCGAGCAAGAAGGACGTGGAGAAGAAGCCAGGCAACTTCTACAAGCTGTGGGCACCAGTCTTCGAGGCCGAGGCTCGCTTCAGCAAGAAGCAGCCAGTGCCAAAGATTGGAAATGACAACAGCACAAAGGAAGAGGTGGATGAGTTCTACAACTTCTGGTACAACTTCGACTCGTGGCGATCGTTCGAATATCTCGACGAGGATGTGCCAGATGATAACGAGTCTCGCGACCAGAAACGTCACGTCGAGCGCAAGAACAACAATGCTCGCAAAAAGAGAAAGAACGAGGATGTGCAGCGCCTGCGTCAAGTCGTCGATCAAGCCTTGAAGCAGGATCCACGACCAGCCAAGTTCAGACAAGAGAAGAACAAGGGCAAGCTTCAAAAGCAGCAGCAGAAGGAGGAGGCCGAGCGCAAGGCCAAGGAAGAGGCTGCCAAGAAGAAGGAAGACGAGGAGAAGGCTGCAGCGGCCAAGGCTGCTGAGGACAAGGCTGCTCGCGAGGATGCGAAGAAGGGCAAAGAGGCGGCGAAGAATGCTGCCAAGAAGAACAAGCGTGTTGTTCGTGGTGCACCGAAGGACGCCAACTACTTCGCGGATGGCACAGCAGATGCCTCGACCATCAATAGCGTCATGAGCGATGTTGATGCGCTCATCTTGAAGCTTGACAACGAAGAGCTTGCCGACTTCACCGCTAAGCTTCAAGGCAAGACTGAGAAGGCGGCTGTAAAGGCAGTGTTCGCTGAAGAGGTACAGCGATTGGTGGGTGCCGGCAAGACCAAGGACGGCGAGTTGAAGAGCATTGCGTGATGGCGTAGATTTTCGATTGCGCTTGTTTCGAAGTGAAGGGATAGAAGGGGCATAAGTTGGAGTTTGATGAATGACACGAGAAGAGATACAACAGTGCTCGTGTTTCATGCAATACCGGTAGACCTTTACTGAACCAACAGACCTCTCACCCAGCTGCATCTGAAGAGCAAATGGCGCTTGGCCCTGCATGCAGGTGGTCTCATCCCACCCACGTGGCAATGAAGTGTATCTCCGGAAGGTTGAGTAGACTTTGGTAATGGTGTTGACCTATGCACGCTCTCCGTCATATGTCATTGCTACCGTACATCTGAAAACTTCGTGTCTCGGCTGCATAGTTCCAGAAGATCGTTGTTGAAGCCACATTCACCTGCCCTGCCGAGACCGCAATTCTCTCCACTTCGCCTGCCCGCTAGAATCTGCATCTGCATCTCGCTATGGAGAAGTCCCACCTCCGCCAATCGTCACAGGCCTCGACTGCTTCCGCTTGTGCTGGCTGACCACTCGTCGAACACATTCGGGAATGCTTCTTGGTATCAATCGAATAGACCTCGGCTCGCATCTGCTACGTTGGTTCTATTCACAAACGTGAATCACACATTCTTCACGACCATTACAAGCTCCACCGCATCGCTACTTGCGCGCCTCGTCCACACCATGTCGGCGGAGCCATCGCCTAGATCTGGCACTCCGATACTGCAGAACAACTCGGAAGCGCCCAGTCCACGCTCTCTGCCTGCCACAAATGGCACAACAACCCTGCCAGAGCAAAAGATACCTTCAGTCCAGCTCGCCAACTCGACCACATCACCCAATGCCAGCAGCACGAATTTGGGAAGCCATGCGACCAATCACTCCAAAGGCACCACATCCACCTACACTCCAGCCTGGCGACGACCCACGATAACCATAGATGGCCAGAGCGAGGCAGCCCGAAGACCAAGCGTGCAGTTTGTGCCCAGCGCGACCAAAGACTCTGGTGCGGCATCTCGCTCGTCATCGGCCAAACCACCCTCGACTCGACGCAGTGTAGGCTATGGTAATGCCAGCAATGGAAAAGGCCCGGCAGGTAGGAGGCTTAGTAGTCCTCCGCCTCCCGCTCAATTCCAAGAAAGAGTCAGCTTCGATACCTTCGACAACAAGGAAGCAAGCGATTTCAGCTTGACGCTGAATCGCAAACACAAAGATTACGAGTACACGAAGCGCTCACGGACGTTTCTCTGCGGAACAGATACGAATGAGTACTCTGACACTGCCCTCGAGTGGCTGATAGATGAACTAGTCGATGACGGCGACGAAATCGTCTGTTTACGAGTCGTGGAGAAGGACAGCAAAGAAGCCTTAAAATGGAGTGGTGGGCAAGGTCAGAGAGGGTATCGTCGCGAAGCAACACGTTTCTTGGAGGAGATTGAAAAGAAGAATACTGAAGATCGTGCGATATCCCTTGTTCTCGAGTTCAGTATTGGGAAAGTTCACGACACGATTCAACAGATGATTCGAATCTATGAGCCTGCTATGCTTGTCGTTGGAACACGAGGCCGCAGCTTAACGGGCTATCAAGGACTTCTGTCTTCTGGAAGTGTATCCAAATACTGCTTGCAATACTCACCTGTGCCGGTGATTGTCGTTCGACCGAGTAGCAAACGGGAAGCGAAGAAGCGGAAACGACTTGCAGATCCTTCGAGGGGAGGATACAGGGATATTCTGGACAAGAGTGAGGATGCGCCAAGAGGGAGAGGAGGACATTTGTTGGACTTCAATAACCGCTTGTCACTTGCCGGAGCAGATCTTGGAGCGCTTGGGGAATTCGGCAGTAATCCTGACGAAGAGGCACGACGAGTGGCAGAAGCGATTGGTTATAGGAACACAGGAACGCATGCTTCCTCCCAGAGAGGATGCTCGCTATCCCGCGTCACGTCTGCTCAATCGGCTGCATCAGAAGTCTCATCACCTCCAGGCCGCCTGCTCAAATCACCCGAGCTTGGCGTCGTGGATTCCCCGAATATCTCAGATGACGATAATGGCGGCGAGATCTCGGACGAGGATTTACTTCAGGCAGAGGAGGGATTTCTCAGGCCTGAGGATGAGGCTGCGCAATTGGCTTATGAACGTGCGCAGGTCGAAGCTGAGGCTGTGAGGGAGGACGCTGAGGCGAGGAGAAAGAGAGAGGAGAGACTGAATGCTCTGGGTAGTTCGAAGAAGAAGGGGAAAGGTAACGAGGATGAAGAGGAAGGTGGTGGTGCGGCTGTTTTGGATATATTTGAGAAGTTGAAGAGGGGGATGTAGAATCATCGTTAAAGAACAATCGCTCAACTAGGGCTCATTCTTCTGCCTGCATGTGACAGTCAAGCTTGCTTCGGGGCTTGAAGGGGAGACTGAATCAGCCAGCGCTCAACTGCATACGTACTTATTGACCATCGACTCAAATTTTTCCAGGAACGGTACATGGTGACGTCCAAGGCTTCGCCCCCGACCGCTGCGCCAGGCATACAAAGTGAGTGGAATTTGTCGGTGGGCTCTGCAAGAAGAGCTGACCAAATGCAGCAGCCATTCCTTCCCAAAGCGCGGCCACCACAGTGTGCAACTTCACCGAGCTATTGGAAGCCATCCTAGTTTCACTGCCAATGCACGACCTTCTCCTTGTCCTCGCCCAACGTGTCTGCAAGCAATGGCACGCGGTCATCGAAGTCTCTGTGTCCATCAAGAAGCCTCTTTCTACCGGGCACATTGAACGACACGCACCATGAGAACAGGTGCACCATCATCCAGAAAGCTCGAGACCATCCTGATCTCCTTCCCAGTCCACCGTCCTCGTCTTGTCTCTGTATCTACATCACTCAACCTCCTATGGACATTGAGATCGTGGATGTCGATGTTGAGGGCTTGTGGTCTTTGGAATCTCGACATCCGAGACGACGTGCTTCGCCTAGGACTTTCCCGAGAGAAGGCATGGTCGGAGAGTTGATAGGTGCTGTGAGAAAGAAGATTGAAGGACAGGAGAAACCGAGGATCGTAAAGTGTCGGTGCTTGGTTCTTGGGTCCATCCTGATGACGCGTTAGCAGTGCCGCGGGATGGGTCTGTCTGATATGGAGGGTACGGGTGCTAGAAAGTCGAGGAGCGGCGTGTGCTGGAGAAAGCAGGATTAAGGAAGAATAAGATGAATCTCTACGTGCGTCAGGAGATGCATTCCACTCGCTTCGTCCTCAAGCTCCACGTTTCTCACTTGCCTCACTTGGACGTTTTTACCGGTTGCCGGGCCGCGTACGCACGGACATGTGTCTGGCGAGTTGACTATTTAACCCAGATCTCTCGCTCGTCTCTTCCGGCAAAGAATTTTGCACTTCAACACCATGGCGGGCGAAGAAGAGGGCGCCGCTGATGGAGGAGGTTCGACGAGTAAGGACTAGCTTCGCCGGATACACTGTTCCATGCTGACCCTACTTGCAGGTATGGGCGCCGCCGCGTACAAGCTTTTCCATACCACTGAACTACTCGAGGCTATCCTCTTGAAAACCAATACTCGAGCGCTTCTCACCACCCACCAACGTGTCTGCAAGCAATGGAGAGACGTCATTCAGGGATCCATCAACCTCAAGAAGGCGCTCTTTCTTGAGACCGGCCAGGCCAGCATCGCCTACCCAGGCCCATCTGGAATCGAGAGCGCTATCATTCACGGTCTTTACGTCAGCACGACCGGACTCTATTCAACGGCTGACGAGAGGAGGCTTGCTCGCATCCCAAAGAACCTGGAATCATGCCCTGTGCAATTCAATCCCTTCCTCTCACCAAAGTCAAACGAGACTATCCCCCTTCCCAAGCGTTTCCTCCGCGCCCCCATGTTCCTCTGCCATCTGAACCCGCAGCTTCTGCTCGCCCATGAGTCAGCATCGTGCCGACGCATGTACATCACCCAGCCACCGGTAAAGCTTCAGATCTTTGACGTGGTTTGCAGCGTGTGTGCAATGAAACCTCGGCATCTACGTCCATTCCCTGAGCCTAGAAGTTTCCGTAAAGTTCGGACTTTTGGGGAGCTCATTGATGCGGTCAAGGAGAAGCTTGAGGGGAAGGAACGACTTAAGATTGTGAAGTGTTTGCGTATCATGGTTGGGGTGGGTCCGGAGGAAGTCAAGGACTGGGTGGAGGAGTATGGTAGCAAGTGAGTTGCAAAGCGACGGTCTGATGGTGGACGTAGACTTCTGGAGTGCGACTCTCGGGACTGGCGAAGTTGAGGATGTTAGGAGAATACGCTTGATCGGGGCGAGATGCACTGGCGTCTGACTACCTTTCACTTCATAGATGGAAACGCGACTACTCAACGGCGACTTCATCTTGCCATTGTGCGAAGTGAGCAATGTATTCCATGCGCCTCAAGCTCACTCCCCACATTTCTGGAAAGGGTCGTGCATGTGAAGGCTTGGCATGTTCAAGAAACTCCGACATCTGATCCAAAATCACTTCTGAATTCCTCAACCGCACCACACTGCCTCACACCTCTGGTCTTCAGGTCACATAACTGGTACACATCATGTTGTTCGTTCCCTTGTATGCCACGAGTAATGCTGATTAATGAATGGACAGGCCGACAGCGGAGATGGCGGCAGCCAGAGTTTTCGCGATCCCAGAGCTCGTGGAAGCCATACTGCTGCGACTTCCAACTAAAGACCTGCTGTTGTCCAAACGTATCTCTCGAATTTGCCGCGACGCCCACGAGTCGAAGTCGATCAAGAAGGCACTCTTCCTCGTTCCCGGCACCGCACTCAACACTTCTGACGAAGCGAGTTTCCCACAACCAGGCTATTCAGCCTCCATCAAATACGTCAAATCATGGTGGAGCTCCAGCAGCTATGAAGTTCCACTGCCCGAGGCAGCCAAGCATGGTGTCTCTTTCAATCCCTTACTCGTAGCCTACTTCACCGGGCAGACCTTGACGATTCAGAGCGATCGTATGAAGGCTTCCAATACTGCGGAACTCAGAGTTCTATGCCACGGCGACGATGCATCTTTCCGACGTATGTTCATCACTCAGCCACCACTGCGGATGATGACAGTCCACGCCAATTACCGCTACGCCCATGGCAATTTCAGCGTGCGGATGATCGGAGGAATGACCTATGGAGAATTGCTTGATGAAATGGAGATGTTTCTTAAGGAGGGTCAGAAGAACGGTCAGAATGAAGAGCATCTGTTCAAGTGGGGTGTAGGCGTGAGGAGTGAGCCCAAAGGTCAGGATTTGGAGGATGCATCGGAGGCTCTTACATTGTGAGGTTGTTCTGAGATGACCTTGGGGGTTCGAGAGCAACGTCACGGGAGATGGAGCTACTAGGCGGAGTCGATTGACTTACGTGCAGCGAGGCTGAGAATGCTGTAAAAAGCACATGAGTTTCTGTATTCAGATCAGTCATAAGTCCTTCAACTTCAATTCTGCAACATGATGCCAATATCTCACCCCAAGCCTACACACACACTCTCTCTCCAAACAAAGTCGGCACTTATAGCGACCGAGGGGGCCCCTCGCGGCCTGGAAGGGTGGTTGTGGAGGAGGTACGACGACACGCCGCCCGCTTAGCGGAGGGGTGTCGGTTGCGGAGCCTTCGTCGGCGAACCCCTAGGATTCTATCTTTTAAAGGACGTAGCGACCGTAACCCGAGGGACGAGGGAAGCATAGGTCGCGCTCATTCTATCGTCGTCTTAGCGTGAAACCGCCATCTAGAATTTTCCTGACCGCCATTTAGTCAAACCCGTCATCAGCAGAAGAAGTGAAGAAGTGAGTTCATGCATGTGGAGCTTGGCATTCTCGGTTTGTCCTGAGCTCCACCTCCCTTTTGAACCCTCCCGATATCGACAACTAGCGAGGCTTGCCACTGATTTCGAGCTTCAGCACAGTCGATCCTGTTGAAAGCAAAGATCCGAATTCGGCCGCGCTCGATGTTCGTCCTCTGCGAAGAGTACCGACGTGAAGTACAAATTGGTTTTGCTGGAAAGTGTCGTTCCGATGCTCCCGGTTCTCTCGATAGAGGCAGCAAAACCTCTCCGATTTCATCAGCATTTCGTCTTTGACGCCCACTTGTACTCCCTCATAAAGTGTTCTTGCCCAATTTTCTCATCAGCACCATCTTCAAAATCCCCTCACTCCAAAACCGCCTTGTCAAAAAACACCCTCTTATAAAACCTCGCCTCCTCAATACTCTCCAAGATATCCGCCTTAGCCTCATGTTTCCCCATCTTCTGCGGACTCTTCTTGATAACCTCTTCACTCGCCCACCTCCTCGCCGCCTCTTTTATAGAACTCACATCCAGAATCCTATGATGCAAATGACTCACCACCTTCCTCCAAGGCTCCTGCCTCAAAAACCTTTGATCCGCGTGTACAGTATTGCCCGCCAGCAGCGCCTTCTTGCGTTCCGGGGCGAATTTCTGGATGTAGGAGAGCAATTCGGTAGCTGCGGTTTCGGCGGTTGTTGAGGAGGTGAGACAGGCGTCTGTGAGGCCTGAGGAGCCGTGGTGGGATTTACACCATTCTCCCATGGTGCCGAGTTGGGTTTCGGTGTGGGAGATTATTGCTTCGTAGCCGTTTGGGTCAAGTAGGTTTAGTTCGTGGTCGGTTATGAAGCAGGCTATGGACATGATTGTGTCTTTTGAAGTGTCTAGACCGGTCATTTCGCAGTCGATCCATACAAGTGGTTCCGTGGAGCGTGATTCTGGCATGGTCGTTGGACTTGTGCAGGGTGGAACGGAGGTCAGTCGTGAAGGTGAAGTAGGTGAGGTGGAGGGTATGCTTGGAATTTTGATGCGGGCCCGAAATCAATGGCTTCAACATTATTACTAGGTATTGTCTAGCTGGCTGGCAATAACCACGATCTGAGAACATTTGTGACTTTCACATACAGCCTAAGCGTTTGCTAACTATCATGTACGTGACGGTTATCAAGCTCGCCCTCAACTCCCTCATACAATGGCTCACTCGCAAATCGGCGGTGTTTCACAGCAAAGCAATGGAAGGTCCAAAGTCAGGTCGCAGTCATGACACCGAGCTGAGCCGGCAACGCTCACGAATGCCTTCGCTGCATCGGTCGAGGATTGAAGTGAGCGACGCGGGTACCGGTTCTGGACATGCCATGTTGTATTCCATGATCGACTTGGAATTATTATTAGATCTGACCACATGTTTTGTGATAACCCCGAATCGCCGACCCTTGTCAGCAAAGGTTTGGACATGGCAACTCAGGCCTGTGAGAGATGTCGTCTGGAGCGTTGGGTAGCCATACATGGCAACAACCAAGCAATGGTCCGTATTAAGGTGCGCTACCTAGTAGCGATCACTGAACTTCAAACGCAGACTGAGCACGAGTCGATGTGAAGTGGCTTGCCGCTTCTGAGGAGGCCGTATCAGATAATAAAGCTCGTATCGTCTGTGCGGATGCGATGGACAGGGCGACTCCCTTGTTTCGGGACACACGAAGCTCTCGTCTAGGCCTGTCGAAGCCTTGTGAACTCTGCAAGGCACCAATCAAGCATTCAAGATGGCCTGTTAATAAGCGCGACGAAGTCAGAGGTCGGCATAATAACTCCAGGGCATCATCAGAGTGGCCATACCCTGTACTTAGTCACAGTGAGCATTGTTTTATCTCGTGAAAGCTCGCTCCGATTTGTCATCGGCGCGTTGCTGGTGGTTGATGGACCGGCGGAAGGCTCGGGATCGCCGCGTTATGATATGCTGTAGTCGCTCCTGCTTTTCCGGGACGACGTGCAAGGGTTGATGGCGCATGGCAGGCTCCGGCCAGCTTGACTGTTAGTGTTATGCTTTGTGTCGATGCCGGGGTATGGTAGAAGAATTGCTTCACACGATCTTGCAGCGGTGCGGTGCGGTGGCATTATTTTCTCGCACGATCCAAGAGGGCAGTGAGAACAGCTTCCTGCCGAGCGGGGGCGGCGCTTGCTGACACACCCGCCGCGCCGATGTGCGAGGCACTTGGCACAGTGGAGTGGAGGCGACATCCATGCTCGCTGCCTTCTCGCCTCGCCTCGCATATATCAGAGGCTCGCAGAACCTTACCTAATCATCTCGAGCTTCTCGTGGGCTTCGCATCGCCTGTAAGTTGACTCCCCCCGATCTCTCAGCAACAACCAGCCACTTGCCACGGCCTACCATGATGCCGCACGACGGGCCCGGGTTCGGTGCTGGCACGCAGCCGGATCATACAGTACTCGCCGCTGCGCATGCGCAATCATGCTAACCCGGCCGCTGCGCAGACATCCGTCGCCCATCCACCCTGAGCCCCGACCGACATCAACCACGCCGCCCAATACTTGCGCTTTTGCTCTGCCTCATCCCCGCCCTCGTCATACTACCAACGAGCTCGAGAAGCGCCTTCTGCTGTTCTGCTGGCTCGAGTCTCGGCCGGGAAAATGCAACACGCGCGCGCCCAGGTGAGTCTTGATCAAAAGCTTGGCTGGTCGCACACGACTTCTAAGGCTGACTGTACCCGTCCTTTCTACAGGAAGGGATCGAAATGAGTATGTGCTAGTAATCTGCTCCCCACCTACCGCATATGAGCCCCGTATGTCCGTACCCGACCATGCTGACTGATGCTGCCTTCCAAAGGTTTACGCGAGCATCTACTCGCAGCCAGTGGCTCTGGCTCTGCTCCCGCTCCCTATCCACCTCCGCCCTCTGGTCCCCAGCCAGCTGCTGATAATCCATATCCGCCCTCCGATTCGCAAAGCCCTCACGATCGACTTGACCCCAACGTGACTGGACAGTACGACATGAGTGGGGATGCCGATGGCGCAGATCGCAAAGGCAAGCGTGAACTGTCGACGAGCAAGAGGGCCGCACAAAATAGAGCAGCACAGGTATGTTAGTCCGATCGATGTGTCAACTGAGGATCGATCAATGCCTACCCTGCGATGCCTCACTGAAAACGTCTGAAAATCGCCTTCTCTGAACGGAACGAAGCATTGGCCATGATATTGCCCCATGCATGGCCGAGTGCAATCCATCAATGATCATGATCGAGCCTGGAGCTGATGATGATATTTGCGTTTGATTTTTTTATGGCTCGCTAACATCTCGACAGCGCGCATTTCGACAGCGAAAGGAAGGATATATCAAGAAGCTCGAAGAACAGGTCAAGGAGTTCCAAACCATGGACCAAAACTACAAAACATTGCAGAATGAAAACTATCAACTGAGAGAATACATCCTCGGCCTTCAATCGCGACTTCTGGAAAATCAAGCCGACTTCCCACCCGCCCCTTCACACGTCAATTTGTCCAGCGGAGCCGCATCGCAAGCACAGCACGTCCACGCTGCCGAACGTCCATATGGCGCTGAAGAGCAGTTGCGTCGTGAGATGGAGCAGCAACGCGCACCTCCAGCGGCGCCAGTCGTGGCACGCGAGGACGTGCATCACGACGGCATGACCCAACTTCGACAGGCCGCTGCTGTAGCGGACGCGCGGCCCCACACGTCTCCATACGGTCTAGGGAATAGCGAGTATCAAAAGCGTCCTGAGAACTCAACTCAGCCAGCCTCAAGTAGCGACGCCAAGCCGCCTTCGTAAGGGGAGCTGGCTTGCAAGGTTCATCAGGCGTTCATGGACTCGGAATCACTTGATTTGCTAGCAACAGTCGTCGGCAGCACATTTTCAGACGGAGAGGGCGCATGGAATTGATAGTAAGACTCGCCCACGCAGGGCGCGGAGGGCATCCAAGATGCACAGGATCATTGATAGCCAGTTGCTATATCGTTGCCGCACTGATTCTAATGACAGTGCCAGATGCGAATGCAAACTCACCTTCCCCGATACCATTTTTACTAGCGAACCGATACGCTTCCCTTCGACGAAACTAGATTGCACCAGACTTGATACTGAAGTCATAGCGGACGATTACCATGAATATAAGTGTGCATTGTGACAATCTAGATGTGAAGGTTATACAAGCAATACGAGGGTCTGCCACAAGGTCGTTCATTAGGAATATCGATTCCCGAATTTCGAGGATTACGCCTCCGGGCAACACGCGGCCGCGTGCCACGCTAACGATCCATCATCACCCTTGCGTGAAGTTTGGGTGCCGCAAGCTCAACCCCATAGCTGGCAGCATTTGTTCCCCCACAGAACAGTGAAATAGTGCCCGCGAGGCGCTGACTCAAGAGCATCCCAAATCATTGGGAAACTTGGAGTATTCCGCCGTCATTCGACGGACGACACAATAGAAATAATAGGCTGATTTTTTGCGCTCACAGCTTACGAAGAGCTGCCGTAAGCCAGCGGCGGCTGATGCACAACAGGCGCATAGCAACTTGGCGTCTGAGGGGCGAAACCGTTCTCTTCAGATTTATCCATCAATGAATAGACAGCAAAGCACTTGTGCGCTGCTCAATCAATGCTGGATCCTCGTCATCGGCCTTTCTGTATCAGCACATTACCTAGAGTAGATCCAATTGGGGAGTTCCACGAACAGAACTTGCGCCGAATGCGTAGGGTAAAGAGGCGTTCCTGAAGGGAATTTGTGAGAGATTTTTCTATCACCAGAATCCGTTTCCAATGATCACTCTATGATCAGGAAATCGCAGTGAAAGAGCACTGGTCTTGGCTGCGGTATCAACATCTCCACATCGGCCCGAAGCTCGGCATGGTTGTTCGGCACGCTTTCCATCCGCCATACCGTCTTCACGAGTACAGCGACTTCAGCCTGACGCAGCGGGGAATATTTCAGGCCGCAACAGTGAAAGTGAAAGGGTTCAAGGTGCCGCATGAGTGGCCTGGTTGCCCTGAAGCTTAATCTTCAAGCTTGAGCTTCAATGTAAACCTTGCGTCTTCAAGTCATCCTCACCTCACGACACCACTGCAACGCGGAAAATAAGCGCCTTCTGACAGCTTAAGCCATCCGCTGTCTGCCACAATCGTCGCGGCCAACGTCGCCGCTTTTTGCAGTTCGCTATCTGCTACTCGCTATTTCCCCTCGACCTCGCCCTCGCCCTCGCCCTCGCCGCCGCTGGGTTGGAATTGGATCTCGAGTCGCCGGCGACACTCGACAACACTCGCCAACACTCGCTTGATTACCCCTGACCGCCCATCATGCCTTTCGGCGCAAAATTCGCCGAGTCGGCGAAGTCCTTCTACCAAAAAGCGTCGCTCGCTACTAACAACGCAGTGAACGGCTTCAACTTCAACCGCAACGTCTACGAGGAGTTTAACAAAGCGCCGTGCGATTACCTCAACGAAGACTTCGAGTGTGACGAAGAGTTTGGCTCTGATGAAGAGTGGACCGCTATTAGCAAGACCAGCCCACGCAAGAAGGTAACGCATTCATCTATCCGCTTTCTAATATACAACTGCTAATTCAGGCAAACAGTATCCGGAAGAAAAATGCCTCGTCAATTCTGGTACCGCCATGAAGCTATCGAATGTAGGCTTGACTTTCTCTCAGCACGCAATCGCCGCCGCCAGCCAGGCTGCGGGTGTCAGCTTTGATTACGCGCAGACCGCACTGAAATTCGCCACACTCGAAACTGCACAAGGAATCGGCTACCTGGCAAGTTCAGACACGGCCACCGCCGCCATTCAGAAACTCAAGCGCCGCTTCCCGCTCTTGGAGGATATCCAACGCGCCTATAGCGAAGGTCAGGACGTCCAGAGATCGCGCCGCCTCGGGAGGGATCCTCGCCCAATGTTTTACGACGATGGGGAGGAGGAGATGATGATGGCGGACCCGGAGAGTGGTGCGGAAATGCAGATCGTCTACGAGAACAGCTCCGCGCAAGAGCCGGGGCAAAGCCACGGACAGTTTCGAGGAGGTCCGCTCGATCACTCTAACCCCATTATTGGTTCTGAGAATGACTCCGAAGACCTCAAAGCGAAGGAAGATGCTGAAGCGACGGAGAGTAAGGTGGATTTGTGGTTGAAGGGGGTAGTGGAGAAGGAGTTCTGATGTTTTGATACTCTCATGCGGGAATAACTTGATGACTTAATGACTCGACGAGAGATGACTGTACCATGGAAATGAGTCGGCGGCTAGAACGCTGAAAAGATGCATTGGATTTTCGAGCTGAATGGGGTGGAGCGTGTAGGATAGATGAAGAATGAGAACACAATAAGAAAGCGTAGAAAGCGCGGTGAGCTGAGTCGAGTCTACGCGATCGTTGACATATCCTCATCTCACTCACACAGACAACTAGGTCCATAGCGCGATAGTCCGGATACGAAAAAACGCCTATACGGAAGGAACTATACTTAAGGCAGGCTCACACCACTCTTCACGACTCCAAAACGCTCGCAATAGCAACCACACTCACTCACTCACAAGCTCTTCTTGCCTCCTGCTCAAAAAGCTCTCCAAGGACCGGCGCTCGTTTCTTGCCTCTTTTCAGTCAGGGCAGTATCAAGAGCGGAACACTTTACCTTCGTCCTCAACTCTATATACAGGCGGATACTGTGCTCCTAGCGTTGAATTGATATGCCGTTGTTTGTCGAGGCACGTTCCGGAGAGGAGAGGAAAGCGACTGAAGCCCAGCTGCAAGAAAGACAAGGCTGTGGACCACCGAAATCCATATTTACAGCGGCAAATTTGCGCGAAGCGTTACAAATGAGTGTCTAGCATTCCATTCCATTCCCTCACTTACCTTTTCTTGCTTCCTTCTAGAAATTCATGTCGTCTATGCAATCAGATTCAGTACTTGTTATCTTTCATCAAGAAAGCATCACAGAAGCGAATTCTACGATACCTAACGACCTCGGTGTGAATCGTATATTAAGTCGTGCTCTATATTTCGTGTTCCTATGTCTAAATCTTTAGAATCCTCTCTAGAGATAGAAGGCGTGCCGTACGCTCGACCTTATTATCCAATTCTGCTTCTCTAGGATATAAAGAAGTAGACTTAATAATACACGACCTCACTCAGAATTCCTCGACTTCGCCGCTCTAATAAGTAGGTAACAGAACTTATGCGCCATCAGCCTTGGGTGCTCCATCACAGAAGATTCTAATAAGAGCAAGCCGCTCGTCGAGTCACAAAACAAGATTCAAGGCACTCATTCCACTCCCATAATCGTACTTGTGCACAAATGCGAGGCTACGTGTAGCATATGTAGCTCACAAGCTTTTTCTTGTTCAAGAGTTAATATCTGCCGCTGCAGTCGCTAATGGCTATATCCATCGGTGGTACGAAAATACGAATTCGAAAAACTCGTTCAGCAGGAAGTCACAATGGTCAAGAATAAACAAGACATGGGATGAGGTCGCTCGGACATTCGGAATGTTGACTCATCATCACAGTTCTGTGCTACCTGGTATATACATACCTTGTCATCATCATGCCCTTGGAGGAGGCCTATACTCTTCCTTCAGCCTCCATTTACTCCTACCAGGAGTGCTACCCTTCTCCAGAGTCGCGATCGTTCTCAGCATTTCTTTGAATTGCATTGTGCGTTCTGGGCTTCCTCGACACAGGCGGTCGAATTGATCGACGAGCATTTGTGCAGGCACGACGCCATCGTGCAGCATCATAAAGTCTCGGATGAGCTTCAAGAAGTCCCTGCCCTGAGGAGCGTTGCGAAGTGCAGCGCGACCTCTGCCCACAGGCGTCGCATCCCGAGAGCCGGCGGAAGAGGCAGTTCCGGCAGCAGTATTGGCTGCGCTGCCGATATGGCGATTTTGAAGATTGGCGAGGACGGAGGATGAGGATGGACCGCCACGACCTCCTCGGCCACCGCGCATTCCTCCACGCATTCCGCCACGACGAGGCGGCGGTGAGGGTGAGCGACCTGCTGTGCCGACTTGTCCGGTCCAGGTTGGCACACCGGCTGGGAGGCTTCTAGCGATTTCACCTGCCCGTTCGAGTTCTCGAGCCGCTTCGGCAGCAACACGCTTCGCCTCCCGTTGGATTATGGTAGGATCAGCACGTACAGTCTTACGACCATTGATGATGGCATCGTGGTCCTGGACTGATGCGACTCCATTGCCAGCAAAGATGGAGGACAGCATGCGATCTTCCTTGTTGCTGCCCTTCGAATTATCTTCCTGCCCGTCATCCTCACCATGAAACTCCTCTTGGCGTGAGATGCCAGCAACCTTGCTCAGATCATCACCAGCAGGAGCCGTCCCATCTTCTGGTGTAGATAGGTTGCCCTGTTTAAACTTCACCTCAGTGCCTTTGAAGATATTGCCAGTTTCAGTCTGACCATCCGCAGAGTCGCCGAGCGTGAACAGGTCGTGTAGATCCTTGAGCTGGAACGTTTGCCGCTGTTTGGGGTCCTTCAAGATCTTATTGGTCAGAAATTGCTTGAAAATCTGTCGGTGGTATATCTTTTCTTCTATCGTGCCCGCTGTCATCAGGCGATATATCAGGACCTCTCGCTTTTGGCCGAGACGCCATGCTCGCTCTCGTGCTTGCACGTCTGTTGACGGGTTCCAGTCAGGATCGTAGATGATCACTCGGTTGGCACCAGTTAAATTAACGCCAAGTCCGCCGACCTTAGTGGTGAGCAGGAACACATGCAAGTCTGGATCGTTATTGAATTCGTCGACCAGATTCTGTCGCTCCTTGATTGGAGTTGTGCCATCCATGCGTCGATAAGAGAACCCTGCCATATTGCCGATAAATCGTTCGAGGATGTCCAGCATGATGCGATGCTGCGCAAAGAGCAGTGTCTTGTGCCCATCGCGCTTCCATTCTTGGAGAAGCGATTTGACGACTTGCATCTTGCCTGACTTCCTGCCGTCACCATAGTTGTACTCAGACTTCTTCGACAGTGTTCTGTGCTCAACCAGATCCGGGTGGTTGCAGATCTTTCGCAGAATGTCGACACCATATAGTGCTTGACGCTTGCCATTCATGATTGACTTCATGTCTTCCGAGTCAAGGAACCACTGGTAGGCCTCTCGTTGAAGCTTCGTCAGCTTGCAAAACAGCACGCGCTCGCTCTTCTTAGGCAGGTCGGCAGCGACATCGACCTTGAAACGCTGGAGCAAATATGGCGAGATCGCGTCTTTTAGCGTCTCGGCACACTTCATGGCAGTCTCAACCTGTAGATTTGATGCATTTGCGTAACCACCATGCTTGATCGGGATTTCGAACTGGTTCTTGAAATTCACCAGAGTACCTAGGCGCATTGGAAACACGAAGTCGAAGAGGGACCACAGCTCGGTGAGGTTGTTCTGCATTGGCGTTCCCGAAAGAATGACTCGATTATGAGTGCACAGCTCCTTGCAGTAGATTGTGATTGCTGTATTTGGGTTGCGGATCTTGTGGCCCTCGTCAAGCACTGCGTACTCCCAATCGGTAGGTATCAGTAACTCGGCATACGTCTGCAGACCGGAGTAGGTTGTGACGAGAACATGGCCTTGTTTCGTCACAGTGTCGAGGATTCGCTTCGCGGCCTTCTGACCTTTGCTTAGCGTTTTCTTGCTTGAATAGTCTTCTGCCTCAAGCGCTTCTTCGTACCGATTTTCTCGCCCGACATCGAGCATGCCGCTGCCGGAAGTATGCAGAATCGAGACTCGCAGCGGTGGCCACCAGCGATGAAACTCGTTTACCCACTGCTTCATCACTGTGGCCGGGCAAACAACAATGATGGGTTTCTGGATTTTGCCAGAATAGTGCAGACCAGCCAAGAAGGAGATGATCTGAATGGTTTTTCCAAGACCCATCTCGTCTCCAATGATACCGCCAACTTGTTGAGAGTAGAGTTCCCACAGCCACTGCACACCAGTCTTTTGATAGTCGAACAGGGATGGATAAATATCGCCGGGTATTCGGAAGCCTCCCTCGAACTCAGCATCTGCACGAGTTGGATGAGGCATTTGCCATTCAGGCTTCGCTTCTTCGACTTGCTCCAAGTCGACGATATCCTGAGTCTCAGACTTGGTACCACTCGCGCTGTGATCTGCATCCTCTTGCATCGATGTTCTTCTCTCCTTTGCACGCTTTCTGGCCGCACTTCGGCGTTCAGTCCAGCTCTGTAAACGTGCTTGATATACCTGTTCATTGCCATCGTCTATACCAGCCAGGTCTTCCTGGCCATCTTCAGAGTTTGTTATGGCTTTTTGTTTCTGCTTGCCCTTGCGTGAACGCTTGACCGGCGGGGCTGTTGTGAGTGTGAAATCACCTTCAGCGTCATCGTCTTCAGACTCAGCAGCATCGCCCGATCTCCCGACGGACGCCATGCCATTCTCATCTAGACCTGACACGTAGGCAGCATCCAATTCTTCGGCAGCAGTGCTTGGTTCTACAGATGCAGCTTTTGCCTGTCGTCTACTCGTGAGCCTCCGTCTCTTGGCTGGACGTTCTCGGGCGTCCTCCTCGTCCTGCAAGCGCCGCGCTAAAGCAGCGTCGTCTTCAGTGTCGCCTGCAGTGCTTGGAGCTGCGCTGGTGTCTTCCTGATCAAAGCCAGGTGCCAGCAAGTACTGATGCGACTTGGGGCCAGCTTGTATCGATGCCTCGGCTTCTGCCTCTGCCTGCTCCTCTTCTGCCTCATCCTCATCCTGCTGATCCTCGTCAAGCAGCAGCTCTCCAAGGCTTGACGAAGTCTTCAACAGCTGCCGACCCATTTTTGAGAAGGGTGTAATCTTCCCCGTACGAATAAGGAACTCGCGCTGGCTCTCACCTGGCAAGCGCTTGTTCGCACCTTGCTCCAGAAGAGTCTCGCCATCTTGTTCAGACGACTCTTGCCGATCGTCGATACGCTTCTGGATCTGTGCGATGTCATTGTCGAGATTTGCGATCAAGGCGTTGTAGTGTTCGATCTCGGCTCGATACTTATTCTTAGTGGCAGACCCAGCAGGCTTAGCCAAGTTCGTCTCGGCGATCTTGACGGCCGTCTGCATGCGCTCCTTCTCTTTAAGCGTCTTCTGCAAGCGCTTTTGTTCTCTCTCGATCGCCTGCTCTGTAAGAAGCTGGTCGGCTTGCTGGCCTATGTCTCTTTCGAGGTCATCTTGGTCGCGAACAACGGCACCCAGCGCCGCCAGATCCGTCACACCTTCGCCATCTGAAAGCGGATACTCTCCATTTGCGACGTCTTCATCCTGAGCCGTTGCCTGGTCGATCTCGCCTCTAGCGTTGTTGCTGGAGTCAGGCTGTGATGTCGTCGACCCCACGTTCTGCCCTGGATCAGATGATGGAAGTGCCATGGGAGAGGCTTCAGTGCGACTCGAGGAGGTAGAGAGAGCGTGCGGGAACGTGGTCTACAGCTCGAGGGCGATTTCCAGGATGGTGATGGTGATGGTAGGCATCACTGTGGCGCATGCATGTGTATATGTTACCATCTGTGCTCGCAACTACAGGCCAGAGCGTAGCGACAATAGAAGTGAATTCGAAGTTGCCATCTCAGGAGCGGAGACTTTCGCTTCGGCCATGCATGCACGTTCTTTGTTCTGCACATCCAACTGACATGTCTCTCAAAATGGAAGCCGCGATGGAGAATGACTTCACTGACACGCTTCGCTCCGCGCGCCTCGGCCCGCTCAAACATCGGCCGGCAGAAAGTGTCAGTGTTGCCGAGCTGTTACGCGCAGGGAGTGTGATCTCATCGACGTTTGCCCGCCAGCCAGCCTACAATCATAGCACGCAAACAGCATAATTACGGAGAGACAGATAGCATAGAATAGCTCATGCGAATGATGCGATAGCGGGACTGCTTTTGGACCTTCACTCCCGCCCACCATGGCGTCCATGCCAGCTCGCCAAGCTCAGCGAAGAGCTTCGCGTCCAGAAGCCCAGCCTCAGAGTCCGACCCAGACGCAAAATCAGTCGCCTGTGCGCTCTCGATCTGAAGACTCGCAGACGATATTCGTGCATGACAAGAATGACGAGGAGGAACGAGAAGACCAAGAGCAGACAGACGAGGCATCAGTGCAAGTCCAGGCTGCCACATCGCCCGCCCCGTACAGCCCAGCAGACGACCCATCAGTCAAGAAGTGTTGGATATGCTTTTCAGACGAGACCGAAGACACTCCAGACACATCGCCTTGGCGAGATCCGTGTCCATGTGCTTTGGTCGCGCACGAAGAATGCCTGTTGGACTGGATAGCAGATATGGAGGCACCCAACAAGACAGATCGGAGGGCGGGCATTGCGCCCAGGATTGAGTGTCCGCAGTGCAAATCAGAGATCACGCTTGCAAGACCGCACGATCTTATTGTCGAGGCAGTAAGAGGCTTGGAGAGGGTAGGCGCCAGTTTCATCGTCCCCGCGAGTGGCTCTGCTCTGTTCGCTGCATTACACACTATCGGCATGTCAGTCGGAATACATTCGGTATATGCCGTATTTGGCGCTGAAGACGGCTTTCGGATACTGCGACCACTATTTGTCAACACCATCCGGCCGCCTGTCGAGACATATCTTGGTCGGCCTGGCGAGGCTTCGGAACAAATCCTCCGAGTCTTCCTCGACCACGCCGTACACTGGAGGCTATATCTCGGCTTACCGTTGATCACTCCTCTCTTGGTCCTTTCTCGCACGTCAATCGCAGACAGCATATTACCCGTCTTACCCATAGTCTTCTTCGCTTCGCAAGCACATTCACCAGACGACGCTCTCGACTTTGCTCAATGGCCTCCTTCCGCGAGTTTTGCTTTTGCAGTGCTGCCCTACGTGCGGTCGTTGTACAATGCCTACTACCAGAGAGTATGGGCGGAGAGGGAAAAGAAGTGGCTCAGGGAAATCCAGCCGCGCTCGCAGGAACAGAATGAAGGCAATGAAGGCGCAGAGCAGCCTGCGCCTGAGCAACCAGGCCAAGAGCATGTGTTTGAGATTCAATTAGAGGGTGGACTTTGGGATCAATGGGATGAGGAAGAAGAGCGACTGGTCCAAGAAGCAGCAGACAGAAACCCGCCTGGTAATCCTGTGGAACAGGAGCAGCCAGATCGACTCATACAGCCTCAAGCCGAGCCTCCTCCAGATATCCAGGATAATCGACCACAAGTCCAACAAGCCCAACCACAACCAGCAGCTGCCAACGGACCGCAACAGCAAAATCGAGGAAATGCCAACGTCCGGCCACGGCTGACCTACTCATCTTCTGGGATCGCCCAGACCGTAATCGGAGCTCTTCTCTTCCCTACGATATCTGGTCTCGCTGGCGAAGCCCTGAAGCTTGTATTGCCGAGATCATGGACCGCACCGCCTCCGCAGTTCACGCAGAACGTTTCCGGTCTCACCTTCCGCGGAAAGCCGGCATCGACAGGCTTCTTGCAAGCCAAGTGGGCACGGAGCTTAGTCGGCGGCTGTCTCTTCGTCGTCTGCAAAGATGCGTTGATGCTGTATGTGAGATGGAAAATGGCGCAAATGCACCGACGGAGGCGGGTCGTAGATGTGGATAGGAAGAAGTTGGAGGCTGAGAAGGCCAAGGGCAACGCGAGGACTTGATTGATGAGAGGAAATGTTTGAAAATTTCAGAATGCTCTTTTAAGCGTGCATTGAGACGAGGCGTGAAGGATAGTTAGTGGTCAGTCGATTTTTAGCATCACACTGCTTACAGAATTCAATGCCCTCGATCTCAGGGTATGAGCCTAATGCTCTGCTCTGCTCTGCTCTGCTCTGCTCTGCTCTGCTCTGCTCTGCTCTGCTCTACCACCCGTTGATCAACCAACACCGCTCACGAAAGCCAGAGAATTGCGGAGTAGTTCGAAGAAGACACGTTATATAATTTTCTGCAACTGACAGGGATTAGGATAATTCGAAGAGGTTGAGATGTTGAGGAGCGTCTTTCCAACGAACAGCGAGCGATGCGCACCTGATTACTCTACACGTCAATAAAGCTCTGAGATCGAGATGGATCCTCCTGTAAGTATGTATTGAGGTGTGTCGTTATCGATGAGTGAGTGTACGAGGGAATTGACCCAGTAAGTACATGTATGTCCCGGATTACTGGCTGATGAGAGTTTTACTTGTGATGTACTGTTACCAGCAGTCTCAGAGGAGATGGACTGGATTGTCGATTTGCTTGTCGTGATGCAGCTCGTAGAGTAACTTGATGTGACCCGTCTAGTTCATTCAGCACTGCAGAAACTTTTTTGAATAATCACAATATCTCTTGGCTGGCCAGCATATATATATACATTACATACATACACACGACCACAGATAGATCCTTTCAGGAGGAAAAAAGACAGCCAGGTCCCATGCTATATGTATGTAATCAATATCCACAAGAAGACACATCCCTCGCCATCCCATCTCATAGAAGATCTGATCTCTAAACAAGAATAAACATAGCCATACCGCAGATAGCAAGAGCAAGAGCAGAGAAAGAGTTCATGCTCGCAGCGCCAGTGTAAGCCTCTGGGCCAGATGGGCTGTTCCACGAGCCAGTTCCAGAAGGTGAAGCGGCGCCGGAACCAGTGGAGTTCCCGTAGCCGTATGGCATGCTTGCGGATGGCATTGGCTTGGCCCAGGATGCGGAAGAGCTGGCGACTGGGACTGGTTGAACGTAGGCGGTGCTGGCAGTGACGGCGGTGGAGGATGAGCTCCAGCCCTGCTCTCCACCGTACGCTGGAGCGGACTTGGATGGTTGGGCGGGGCTGACTGGGGATGAGCCGGCTGGGGCGCTGTATGTTGGGGCAGAGCCATATGGAGCAGCCCAAGTGGCGGTCTTGGTCTCGATGCACTGCGAGCATGGGATGGTTTGGTAGACGGTGCTGTAGATGGTCTTCACGCTCTTGGTGTTTGGCTGCTCAGGGCTGTATGGCGAGCTGGCTGGAGCAGTGTATGCTGGAGCAGACTCGACAGGAGCGCTGTAGGATGGAGCCCACGCAGCTGGAGTAGAGGCAGAGGCTGAGGCCGACCAGCTTGGGTACTGCGTATTCGTGAGTGGTTGGTCTTTTTTCGTGAACATTGATTTGACGCCTACCTCAGGTGCTTTTGGAGTCTCTGGGGACTTTGGAGCCTCCCATGAAGAGCTGGCAGCTGGTGCGGAGTACTGCCCAAGATCAGGATAATACTCAAGACAAAATTTGCTGATTTTGGCTTACCTCTGGAGCCTTGGGTGCCTCAGAAACCGGGCTTTTTGGTGCCTCGCTTGGCTTGGTGTATGCTGGAGCGGACCAGCTCGCGGAAGACTCCTTTGCTGGGTAGGTCTCCTCTGCTGGGTAGGTCTCCTTTGCTGGGTAAGTCTCCTCGGCTGGCGAGCTCTCGCTTGGCTTGCTGTACGCTGGAGCAGACCAGCTAGAAGAAGACTCCTTTGCTAGGTAGGTCTCCTTCGCTGGGTAGGTCTCCTTTGCTGGGTAAGTCTCCTCGGCTAGCGAGCTCTCGCTTGGCTTGCTGTACGCTGGAGCAGACCAGCTGGAAGAAGACTCCTTTGCTGGGTAGGTCTCCTTCGCTGGGTAGGTCTCCTTTGCTGGGTAGGTCTCCTTTGCTGGGTAAGTCTCCTCGGCTGGCGAGCTCTCGCTTGGCTTGCTGTACGCTGGAGCAGACCAGCTGGAAGAAGACTCCTTTGCTGGGTAGGTCTCCTTTGCTGGGTAGGTCTCCTCGGCTGGCGAGCTCTCGCTTGGCTTGCTGTACGCTGGAGCAGACCAGCTAGAAGAAGACTCCTTCGCTGGGTAGGTCTCCTTTGCTGGCCAAGTCTCGCTTGGCTTGCCATGACCAGCGGGATAGGTCTCCTCAGCCGGCTTGGTGTAGAAGGGAGGGCGGCCGGTCGAGATGCTCACAGAGTGACCGTTGGGGTAAGTGACGAAGCTTGGGGTTGGCACCGAGTGCTCACGCTCAGTGTGGCTGTATTTCGGTCCCCAGCCAAAGCTGGAAGGAATGCTGGTCCACGTCGTGGTCTCGTTGGCAAGGAGAGCACCGAAGGAGATGGTTGTGCTGGTGATGTGGCTGTAAGAAGCGCTTGGGATGGGCTTGTTCTCCTCTTCAGTGCAGGTGGTCTCCTTTGGTGCCTCGGCGCCCTCCGACTTCGAGCCGTATTGCGGGGCATAGGCTGGCACTGAAGGCCTAGCAGCTTCGGTGGTGGTCTTGCTCGTAGTGTATGCCGGGGCAGGTGCTTCGTAAGCTGCTGGAGCAGCACCGTATGCCGCAGGCTCAGCCGCGTAGGTGGCTCCGATCGCCGCAGCGAGGACTGCAATGTTGCGGAACGAAGGCATGATGAGTGATTAAAGAATACAAATTTGGGGAGAGAGTGAACGGTCGGGTTTGACGTGTAATGAATGTGATGGCACGTAGGCCGAAAGAATGAATGCAAGCAGATGTTGCGAAAGAAGAGTCAGGTGCTGATGATGCTAAGAGGGAAGAGAAGAAGTGCAGACGCAGAAGATATGCATCCCTTTACTTACATAGCGGCCTGCCGTCGTACTGCGCGCGGCTCCAGGTGAATGCCAACGCGCGCTGTTTAGCTTGACGTCGTTGTGGATGCTCCCAATCTCCATTACTTGCTTGAGTTGGAGCAGCGTCGAAATCTCACGTGGCAGCAGCCAGGCATAGACCGCGGCCGGGGTTTCCAGCGGGCAGGATTGGAGGATGGAGAGCGTGTGGCGTCTGAAGACTCTTTTAACCATGGTCGACGTCGCCCGCGATAGCACATCAAGTAGCTGCCTCTCAGCCTCCTATGCCAAATTAGCAGGAGTAGCGAAGCACAGACATCATTTCCGAGCGGCGGCCACGATGCCGTAGTTACCGGCAGCAGGAGGCTGCATCTCAGCATCATTCTCTCCTCCTGTCTTGCAGTATGAGTCGTCTTGTCCAAGAAGTGGCCGAGTGCTGTCTAGTCGTCTCGAGTATCTTGGCTGGAGGCATGAGAGACGGTGGTGGCAGAGCCCGGTGATGATGATCGTGAAGCGGTGTTATTCAGGAGCCAAAGAAACAGCGGTGCCGAAGATCTTCATATACGGCTGCGGGGCGCGCCGCGCGGGAGGCGGGTTATTCTAAAGTTGAGATTGGCACGGAAGCACGCTCCACCACGAATTCCCTTTCTCCAAACAACTTCTCACTCCGCCAATCCACCTCTGGTTCAACGTGTTCTCCCATCATGCCCAACTCCATGTTGATACAGTGGAAAGAGCTCTTGGTCGGCTCTGCGAAGAGTCGCCATGATTTGGCCGTCACCATGTAACGTCGTAGCAGGATTCAGATGTGAGCACGCCATGCCCGACTATGCCTGATTTGAGAAAAGATGACCATCGAAAACTCCGCGTGTGGTACCAATCGCCTGCTGGGAAAAAAATGTTTAGAAGAAAACCTCTCAAATGAGAGAGATACATGAAAGTCGCAACCTCGACAACCGCTGATGATTCTAGGTCTTGCTACGGATCTAGATCTCCAGCAGGAAGAAATACAATACACATGGAGACTTCACTGTAAACTATCCGGAAATGGGTCAAGCAGACATCGAAAGTGTGAACGAAGGGGCCGTAGACGACCAGCGGAATCCCTACAGCGACAAAACACGAGATGACATACCACCAGAATCTCCAACAACCCCAACACTGGCTCGAAAGCTCTCCGCACGACAAGTCCAAATGATAGCAATCGGTAGATCCACACCCACTTCCCCAAATCCCTCCATCATTCCCACTGACGCCGAAGCAGGAGGAACCATAGGAACCGGCCTCTTCCTCGGAACCGGGACTTCCCTCGCAAAAGGCGGACCGGCATCAATGCTCATAGCCTATGCAATCGTAGGCGCCATCGTCTACATGACCATGCTCGCACTCGGAGAAATGGCAGCATTCATCCCCATCGCCGGCTCATTCTGTACCTTTGCCGGAAGATTCGTCGACGATGCGTTCGGCTTTGCGCTCACGTGGAATTACTGGTTTAATGACGCCGTCTCGACGGCTTCGGATGTCATTGCAGCGCAATTGCTGTTGCAGTATTGGACTGATAAGTTTCCGGGGTGGGGCATAAGTTTGATACTCCTGGTGGTGATAATTGGGTTGAATATTGTGACGGTGAGGGTATATGGTGAGATTGAATACTGCCTTTCGTTCCTTAAGGTGGTGACGATTGTCATTTTCATCATCCTCGGTATCGCGGTGAATTGTGGCGGGAATACACAACATGAATACATCGGCACGCGATACTGGTACCAAGGCGACGCACCTTTCGTGAATGGAATCGGAGGCTTCGCGTCGGTGTTCGTGACCGCGGCGTTCGCGTATGGTGGGACAGAGAGCATCGCAATCACAGCTGGAGAGACGAAGAATCCTGCGAAAAACCTCCCGCGCGTGGTCCGCAATGTTTTTTGGAGAATTTTGATCTTCTATATTTTGGCCATCCTCATCATCGGACTCAACGTGCCATATGACTATCCTGGTCTGGCGAACAGAGATAGTCATGTCTCGCCATTCACCCTCGTGTTCCAGACGGCAGGAAGCACGATTGCCGGGTCTTTCATTAACGCTGTGGTTATGACGAGTGTCATTTCTGCTGGCAATCATGCGTTGTACGCCGGTTCGCGGCTCATGTACGCGCTTGCTGTCAATGGCCACGCACCTCGATTCCTCGGAAAGCTCAACCGGAACCAAGTCCCGTGGGTGGCAGTTTTAAGCACATCAGTCATCAGCGGCTTATGTTTCGGGGCATCGTACATCGGCGCCGGTCAGCTCTGGACCTGGTTGCAGAATATCGTCGGTGTTTCGAACCAGCTGTCGTGGATCGCTATCAACTTCGCATCTCTCCGCTTCCGATCTGGCCTTCGCAAACAAGGATTAGACCATCTTCTGCCTTTCAAGAATTGGACATATCCATATGGCCCCCTCGCTGCGGTATTTTTGAACGGCTTCCTCGTGCTTGTGCAGGGTTGGAGTTGTTTTTCTCCGCACTTCAAGGCGGTCGACTTCGTGAGCTATTATATTGAGTTGCCGGTCATGTTGGTCATGTTCGTGGGGTGGAAGGTATGGCATAGAACGAGATTCGTCAGAGCAGCGGAGATGGATTTGGTTACAGACCGATTCGACACTGGACTGCTGCCAGAGGAGCGGTCGAAAGTTTTGGCAGATGCAAAGTTCGTGCCTTGGCGCAAGGGAGAGGGTTGGAAGGCGAGGATCAGACGCATTGGGCAATGGTTGTTTTTCTGATGATATATAGCGTGAGTGAAGTCAAGGCTGCAAGGGGCCACACCGAGCAAGAGATGCATATCGCTGCTCCGTGTGGCCGTTGTGCGATCGTACAAACAGCCAATGGCCGGCAGCTGAATACGGCCACGGCAGGCTGCAAAGCAACGCAGCTGGCAGTGCCCACTAAATACGTTGAAGCTCGCATGCCGCGGATTGCGCAAGTTCTTCTTATTCCAACCTCACCTTGTTCTCAAGTAGTAAGTAAGTATTACCTGCGCTGCTCTCCATTCACTTCTGGATGATACTGCTATCTATGCCGTTTTCTCCATGTCGTTCCGTGCGGATTTCGCGTCAGCCGTGACCAGGCGCCCTGTGCCGTCGGCAGGCAGCAATTGGGAGGCTGAGCTGGGAGTATAAAGTCTACTACTCTCCGCCTGAAAGCCTGACGTCTCTTCTCCCCTTTCCCTCGTCTTTCGAGCCTCGCCGTCTCGAATGCTACAGCGTGTGATTGATGAGACAGGAGGAGGGATAGTAAAGACCAGTACCAAGACCAAGACCATCGGAGCTTTGGAACGTCAGCCGCCGACACGCGCACAGCGTCCTCGTCATTTGCGAGGAAAGTCGCAGTGCTGCCACCTTTCGGGAAAGTCTTCCGCCAGCAGACCGCTCGGGCAACATGTCGCCTCCGACAGTGATCCTTTCGCCTCCCCGAAGTCGTCCCCATGGCGAATGGCGAATTCGCCGCGTGGACAGCCGCGTTTGCATATGTGGCGCCGTCGCTTCGGTAGCACCAGAACGGCTGCAAAGTCCACTTGGCGACCACGAGGTGCAAGCTTCGAAGCGACGCAGTGCTATCGCTCAGAATGGAACGGTCCAGGGTCTCCGGGCAGCAGTTCAACGACAGCATGGGCATGAGAAGCTGATGCAGACTTTGTTTGCGACGGGCGTGCGCCGTGCAGGTACATGTACACGAACAAGCTGCATCATGCATGAGACCAAGACTCCGACCTCACTTGGCGTCCGCTTGGCATCTACGCAATCTCGAAGTCGGAAGCACGAAGCGAGACGCGACTGCCGTGCCAGACAGGCTCCTCCAAACAACGTCAGGCGCGCTTCTTTGAGAGGCAGGAGCTCTGGGCGCGGCGGCGCGCTTGGTGCTTGGCATGGCAGAGCAACACCTCCGCCTGTCACTGGTCCGTCACCGTCACTTTAGTCCGCCCAGCTGCATGACATGCTCGCGTGGCCCGGCCAGAATATCTGTATCTGCGTGCGTGCGTGCGACCTCGAGCTCTGGCATCCATCGACTGTGCCTGCATCGCATCGCATCGCATCGCATCGCCATCGCATCGCATCGCCATCCTCCACTCCACTCCTTGACCTTCATCATGCTCATGCTGCACTCCTAACCAGCAGCACTGCCCTCGAGAAATGAGAACATGCGCTGGGCCAATTGCCTCCACTGTCTACGAGCCGCAATAAAACCCGCGTTGGTCGGCCTCGCCCTACTTGGCGCCCTTCTTGTGGCCCATCAATGCCTCTTGCCCGCAATCGCCTTCGTTTTCCCCTCCTTGGATCCCGTCATCTTTGATCTGGGACTTTTCGGCGCATATCCTCTTACCCACTATGCTTCATTCAATCTTGCCGCGCCCCAGCCGAGACAAATCCTATGGCACGACAAATGCGACGCCGGCAACATTCTTCTCACGCCAAATGGCCCCGCCGTGACTCGCCCAGGCCCTATGATACTCGACTCCAAAGGCGGACTGGTCTGGACATCGGATGACTTTGGTGCCACCGCAAATTTGAAGGTCCAGCGCTTTCAAGGCGAGCACTTTCTGACCCTATGGTCCGGGCAGAAGGCAGCGACCTCTGGCAAGGGCGTTTACTTCATGCTCGATTCCACATACCAGGTGGTGCGCATGATATCCGCCGTCGGCGACGCGCTCTTTGGAGATCTGCACGAGTTTAAGATCACCCCGGAAGGCACCGCTCTGCTGACCGTCTACAATGCCACGAATGCCGACCTCCGCGACATGGGCATGGGTCGACCGGAGAAAGGATGGGTGGTCGACAATTTATTTCAGGAAATTGACATCGAAACTGGAGAACTTCTCTTCGAATGGAGCGCGCTCGATCACTTCGACCCTGTGGAAACACACATGACCAATCCGTTTGGCGGGTATTGGGAGAGCATTCCTTTTGATTTCTATCACCTCAACAGCGTGGACAAAGACTCACAAGGCAACTACATCATCTCATCGCGCCACTTCCATCACATCCTCTCCGTCAGTCCTACCGGTGAGATATTGTGGATCTTGGGTGGCGATGAGAACCAATTCCACGATCTGTCTGATGGCCAAGCCACGAATTTCAAGTGGCAGCACGATGTTCGCTGGATCAACGAGGACGAAGGTGTCTTGACCCTGTTTGACAACAGCAAAGCTGGTCCTCTGCATATCGATGCAACGGAAAGTCGAGCCTTGGTAATTCAAATCGATGTTGAAAACAAGACGGCGAGGCTACTTCAGTCTATGACATCCGCTCAAGGAATCTTATCTAGTTCGCAAGGCTCAGTCCAGTATCTGGGCGAATTTGAGCAGTTCTTTGTGGGCTGGGGATCTGCGGCTGCTTATTCCGAGTACACTCCCCATGGAGATCTGTTGTGTGAAACTCATCTGGGCGCTTCCTGGTACTTCTGGTTAGAGAAAATGAAGTCCTATCGCACGACAAAAGTCTTCAATTGGCATGGAATGCCTAGGGAGCCTCCAAAGACCAAGATCGAGGATGACGTTCTATATGTTAGTTGGAACGGCGCAACCGAGGTGGCTTTCTGGGCACTGGAGGCAACATTTGACATGGAAGAAGTCAAACCGGAGGACCTCAGGAGCAAAGACGAGAACTCTTCAATCGCGGAAACGAAAACGCAGGAAACGGACTTCGAAAGCATTGATGTAGTGCCGAAGACCGGGTTTGAAGCCTCTTTCGACCTTTCCCAATCGTCTTCAGATAGACCCTTCACGAAGTTGAGGGTCGCTGCTCTGAACTCCGCTCACGAAGTCCTTCGCTATTCTGAGCCGTGCGATCCTCAAGACCATTCGACTAGCTCATCGTATTTTATGATCGTGTTCAAACTCTTCCTGGTCGTTGGATTCCTGGGTGGTGCTCGCTTAGCACTCAAGCACTTCCGATCTTCTGGACAAATTCGCAGTCCAGGAGCCGCATCAACGCAATTTTGGCCTGACTGGAGAGACCCTTCTTCGTACGGATACAGGCGAGCAGTAAGAACGACATCGGGAATGTATGAGTGGATACATATGAAGTGGAGCAGTGCCAATAGCAGGCCGACTTGAGGGAAGTATCAAATCCGCCAGTATCAGCAAAAATCTTGTACGTCAGTGCTTGCGAAAAGCCTCGACCATGCCTGCATTACAGTACGGTGCAGAAAGGCCACGGGCGGCAAATGCCGGATCATCAGTGTGCCAAGACTGGAGATGAAAATCATGGCTTCACTGGTTGGCCGTCACTCGCCCGATAAGGAGGACCATTTACTCCTTCCGAGAGTGCCGCCTCAAGGGAACGATGATCATGCAGAGGAAGAGATCAGTCAGCTCACATCAAAGGCTTGGCGATGCAGTAGGTGATGAAAAGAATAGATCCTGTATATGGTTGTATAGAGGTCAGACAGCACGACATCAGATCACAGTGGACAGACATTTGTACAGCGACAGGAGCTACAGACACGATGATAGAAATCAACATCAGAAATGAAACAACAGCAATGTCAACAGCCTTTATTGATCTTATCCTATCGATCTGCGGCATTTCTCAAGGCGAATCTGTATTCAAAGCTCCATGTGGCGGATACTCATCTTCGCTATAATGGCGAAAAATCTGAACACGCAAAAAGTTAGAATAAGCAAGCAGAGAAGTATAGGTAACGACTCTTCTTATTAACTTACCTCACGCCTCATCAAACTCCTCGGCGCCCTCCTCCCCGTAAAAAGTTCGAATTGCGCAAACGCCTGTTCAGGCAACATATCCAAACCATCCTAATCGATCCCCAAATATCAGTAAAGAAAAAAAAACCACCAACACCACCCAACCCAAATCAAATCCATGAAATTTTTAAAAGAACTTACCATAGAAATCCACCCCTTGGAAGCATACCCCAACATCTGCCTCACCAACGGCGTCAAAATCGGCATATACGCCAACTCCACCACCACTCCCCCCGTCCGACTCCCCAACCAATCCTTGGGCAAAACGAAATTCGTCGGAGTCCCCTCGATCGTCTGCGTCGGTACACAACTGACAATCATCGTCGGAAGACGAGAACCTTTCGGCCATTCGGCGTGGAAAGATTCCAAAGCTTCCACACTCGTCGTCGCCGTCGCGGGCGGGTCCAGTTCCGGGATGTTCCCGTTTTGGATCATGGAGTTGTAGTGCGACGCGAGGGTTTCGGCGTGGGTGCGCGTGCGGTTGACGACGAAGACGGTTTGCACGCCGAGGGAAATCATGGCGTAGATGGCGGCGCGCGCCATGCCTCCGGCGCCGCAGACGAGGCCTGTGGTGTGCGGGCGGACGGTGTTGGCGGGGGAGAGGCCGCGGCGGATGCAGGCGCGGATGCCGATCCAGTCGGTGTTGTCGCCGTACAGGGCTTTTACGGGACCGGTGAGGTTTCTGGAGTGGAAGATTCCGGTTTCGCTGGCGCCGGTGTGGAGGGCGTGGATTACGGAGTCGTCGCGGAGGGGGATGACGGTGTTGAGGGCTCCGATGGCTTTGGCGTGGGGACTGAGGATGTCCATCATGGGGATGGTGCGGGTTTTGAAGGGTTGGACGACTGCGGCGCCTCCGAAGTCGTGGTCTTGCACGAGGGTGACGAAGTTGTCGAGAGTGGAAGCAGAATGCGTGCGGTATGAATGCAGCATTCCGCAGGCTTCATAGGCGGCGTTGTGCATTGCGGGAGAAAGTGAGAAGCTGACGTTCGCGCCGTAGATGAAGAATTGCATGGGTTCGTGGATGAAGCATGAGAAGAGGGCCTGATTGCGCTCTCTCGCCGTCACAAGTCGGCATTCATCAGCCGCGTTCGTGTTTGCGGCCGTGTGAGATGCAGTTGGTGAGCTTGCGGGAGCGACTGGCGTCAGAATGTTATTGAAGCACATTGATGTCCTTCCATGCCGACCGGTGCAATAAGCTATGAGTCGTGGTCCTGATCCATTATGAAGAGTCTGCACACGTTGCTGAAATGCCTGTATGGCGAAGCTGTCTGCGAGTGTGCCATTGGGCATTGTGATCTTAACGAGCTCGCAGCCGAGCTCATGTGCTCGATGGTATATATCGAGACATTGCTGTCCGGACCAGCCATCTGGAATACGCTCAGTCGCTGCGTACTCGCCGATTATCTTGGTTCGTCCTCGACTTGTCAAGAGGGACTGAAGCTGTGCGTCGGTCAGAGTCAAATCGACTGTGCAGTATTCTGGACCAAGTCTTAGGCAGTATTCTAATAGCTCTTCGCGACTGAATTGCTTCTGGCGGTCTTCTCGCCCGTCCTTCCCGACAGTAATGATGATGGGTAAAATGGTAGATCGCCGTAGGATTGCAAATGCTTCGTTCACCAGGTTGAAGCAGCTATGCTTTCCCAGCTTCCACATGCCACCTTGTCTCGGGCTAGTACTGACATCCAGCTGGATACCGTCAACGCCGATTTGCGCCTCGTCGAGATCGACTGAATGAGACACAACGTCGTCTGCTGCAAGCCTCACAGCTGAAGTGAATTCCAGCTTGTCAACACTCATTTTTGAGAGCGGATACGCCGACTGATGAGACCTTCCACGGTCATGATCCCCGATGATATTGCGAAGCAACTTCAGAAAGTCGTGCTCGGTACGCTTCAGGGTCAAAAAAGGGCCGTTCGCAGTCCTCGCAGATACCAACCTCGAGGCATCGTCTGCTGACGGTGCCTTGTCGATGCTTTCCGAGACATTAAAGAATTCGTAGTTGGAACAATCTCGTAGAAGTGGTTCAGAAGCTCGAATGAGATCTTGTATTCGGTCCTCGGCCCAGACTTTAATATAGTGCTGAATGCCAGGGACATCGCGAGTCACATAGATGACAGGATGTGTTTGCGCGTACTCCGCGATGATTCTGGCACCATCACTCTCCAGGTCCGCAAAGCTGCACACAATCACACATCCTGTACTGTTCGACTCCAGTAGTTTGTGAAGCACTTCGGTCTGCTTTTGATGATACTCTGCTGTGCCTTGGAGCTTTCGGTAGGCGGTCCTCGTTGAGCCAGTTGCTTCTGTAAATGCTCGATCGGACTCAATCATTCGTCGACTGTATGCACTTGCTGCAAGAAAGCCGAGAGAGCTTTTCCCTGTGCCTCGAATGCCGATCAATACCATCGAGGCATCGGAGCCAAATGCCACCTTCCTGGGTCTAGATTCCCCGACTCCGATCTTTGAGAAGCCGTTCGGCGGCGTTGGGGTTGCACCTGACTCTCGTGACCTTGCAATTTGCTGAAGAACTTCGTTCGAGTTAGGGCGTGGTGTTGCGATGTGTTCGATGCCATGCATGTCTTGGAATGAGCGCTTGACGCCTGCATGTACGGTAGGCATGGTCCCATACAAATTAGCAGTATCGAAAACGAGTTCTAGTCGATCAAGACTGTTGGCTTTTGCCTTGTTGTCCTTCAATCTTGCGAAGGCATGAGAAGTCAGGTGAGATCTACGGTCCCGTGAACATGGCGGCCGCGGTATGGAGCCATCTGCGGATATTCCTCCAGCATAAGGTCGAAGAACAGTTTGGGTGGCATGCCATGCCTGAGCGGAGGTGCAAGCCTGGAGGGAAAAACACTTTGCCCCTGGCTCAGACTTCATCCTCGCCAATCACACGCTTCAGAATTGGCTTTCTCGTTGCCACGTCTGCGTCGAGATGCATTTTACGAAAGACTTCTGAGTCTAATATGCTGCGAGGACGGTGTCCATTCTAGAAACGGTCTTCTCCACTTCTGAACGGCCGTCACAGCTGAAGATGTGATGAAGCCGAGTCTGGACTGCTATGCCCGAAGCAACCGCAAGAAATGCAGAGGGCCCGGACGACATCGAGAATGCAAATCCTGGCGACAAGCGTCCATCTTCCTCTTCCAAGAAGCAGGACGCGGCGCAGCGTGCAAAACGAGTGCGAGTATCAAGGGCCTGCGACCAATGCCGTGCCGGTCGAGAGAAGTGCGATGGAGGCCAGCCATTGTGTCAGACTTGTGAGGTCCAACGGCGATCCTGCACCTACCATGAGCAGCCAAAGAAGCGTGGCATTCAGCCAAATTATATCCGGACGTTGGAGCTGACCTTGGCATGGCTGTTCGAGAAGTACCCGGAATGTGAAGTGAGCATGCAGCAGCTACGCTTGAGGTCTTTGGCTGACAAGATGTCCTCCTCCAGACGCAGCTTTCGCGACTGTTACCTAGATCTGATGAATCTGCTCACCGGCTGATTGCCTGGAAAGAGCCCACATCGTCCGAGAACTTGCACACAAATTGGAGAAACGGCATCATCTTCAAACAAATCGATCAGTTGCTATCTGGTGCTGAGATCGATGTGCCAAAGACTCCTTCGCCGAATGCCCAACAGAGCGCCGCTTCACAAGCTGCTGGTGTATACCAGTCGCCCCCGCTATCGGCACCGTCTGAGTTGGAGCCATTGCACCACGATCGAGTGAATGAAGAAGCGACCCCTGGACTTGCCGGGAATTTGGCGCCGAAAGGTGACGCTGGCAATGAAATGTTGAAACTTCCCGAGAACTCCTGGGCTCTTCTGGAACACTACTTGGCATTCACCCAAACCTGGCTGCCCATAATCGAGAGACATGATGTTCTCAAGCTAATGTATGCATACCCTGCAAGCGGTCTAGCAAAAGAAAATGCTACGGGCTCCGGTCATGCCGAACTATGGAGTATCATGGCTTTTGCATCGCTGCAATTGGGCGGAGCGAGTTCCCTTGTTGCCTTTGAGTACTGTCGAGATGTTGCCAAGTCGCTCATTCCGCAGGAACAAGGCTTTCAGCTTGGACATATCAAGGCCCTACTCATCCTTGGACTTTCCGAGCTTGTCAGAAACGCCTGGCTTGCTGCGTGGTTGGTTATCGGGTCGGCAGTGCGGCTGTTGACGCACTTCAATCTTGGAAGAGGCACGAGTACAACGCTTTTCGAAGGTCGGACAAAGCACACGATTCTGGCTGCCTTCCTCCTCGAAAGCGCCGCAGCTTCTCGAACTTCCGCGATCTGTCACATTAGACCAGAAGACATCAGGACTGTCGGATTACTGATTGAAGATGGCCTTGAGGAATGGTCACCGTGGCAGGATCCAGCCATAGGCCCTAGCTCCGCTGCAACCAAGTCTCCTGCGAGATCTATCAGCACATTCAACACTCTCATTCGGATGGCGTTGCAGCGCCGAGTCAACTTGCACATGGCCAGCCCCGCCGCGCATGATTCGAATCTGCAGGTAGATGCCGTCTTCTCGCTCCTTCACAACGCTTCACTCAAGACTTCCCGGCAGCATCCTGGAATGCTGGTTGCAAACACGCCTCAAAGCCCAACTTCACGCCGTCCCAGCGACTTTGCAAACCCCGGCACGATGCAAACACGAAGCCATTCCAACCAATTCGACTTCACCAGTCCTTTCCAGGACCAACAACACGGATATCTGAGCATTCCAAACGAAAGACCGGAACCAGTAGTCGGCAGTACTCCAGCAGATCACATGTCAACAGATCTCGCATCAGGACTGTGGCACAGTGAGGGCTCCATTGAGCTACCCCAACCGACTTCAGAAAGCGTGACGAACGACGCGGTGCCTGGTGGCGACATTTTCGAAGAGCTTGCCATGCTGGATCGATCTGATTCCACGCAAAACCCGAAATTCATGCAGAATTTGGGCTTTGGCCCGGATTTGGACCTCGCAGAGTTCTTTGGTGCTGATTATCAATTCACGGATCCTTCGGCGTTTGCGCAGCAGGAAAATGGCTGAAGTGCCTCACCTTACCACTCATCATCTAAAAAGAGAAACCCTGCTCGCCACTAGACAGACAGGCCACCAAGTCACGCGTCTCACGATACGCGTGCTCGAGGTCCCATAGCCAGCAATGCTGTAGCGAGCATTCTCGCCAGCACCTTTACCGAACACGTCCATGAGTTGACTCATTTCGATGATCACCAACTACAAAATCTGTCACAATTCTCCTTCATTGGACAGTCCAAAGTCGGAGCGTACTTCTGGAGGCAAGCGAACCAAGCCAAGCACAAACTCTCAATACGACTTGCCTTACGCCAAAGCGGCGCTGCAAGTGCTCGGCATGGTCGATGTCGCTGGTGGAATGGTTCCATGGTGTATATCACCCGGTCAGATCAAGACTGCGAACGGGTTGAGCCATGCATGCTTAGACTCGATTCATGCTGCAGGAGTATGAAAGACACAAGGAGGAGCATGGAATTCGTGTCGAGATCGATCCCGACATAAATGAGGCAGCCAAGCTGGTTGAATACGATGAATTGCACATGAATTGAGAAACTTCATGCCTTGCATTTGAAGCCATGGCCTCGGGTATCTTTCTATCTCCATCTCAATCCAAGGCCCAACTGCACATCTCCTAGAAATGCCCCATGCATGTGCTTTCCGAACGCCACGCCATGCAGAATGCGAGTAAAGCAGCCTCCGTGATGACTTTAACTAGAGCTGAGCCCGTGGAGCGCCTTCAGTCGCTGCTCGACCAGAATTCATCGACATCCCTTTTTGCGGAACGTCAAAATCCGCAAGAATCTTCTGCCACGACTCCGCAGCTCTCTGTGCATGCTCTTCCGGCACATTGACATCGGTGCAAGTCAAACTACGGTTAAATAATTCCGCGCTGAGATATCCTTGGTAGCCTAGATCAACGATGATGGCTTTCAAAATGTCTTTGACCGGCAGATAAGCTCCTCGATCTTCTTCGCCATAGAAAAGTCGGCAGTTGCGCGACCAGCTCATCCGTGCGCATTGCTCCGGGTTGAAAAATTCGTGGCCTTCGACCAAAGGCTCTGCGAGGCGCTCGGCATCGACGACCTGTACGAAAGCAATCTTGTTGACATCGACGGTCTGGACGAGACGTTTCAAACTCGCGGCCATGTCGGCTTCTGCGTTTGGAGTCTTGCCTGTAGGTGAAGTCGGATCTGCGTAGACGCGGCCCGCCATGTTGTAGGTGTCGAGGCAGATGTCGAAATTTGGTCTATCCACCCTTTTGACGATATCCCACACGTCTTCCCAAGTGTCGATGTGGGTGCCCCAGCAGAGTGCCTCGTACGCAAATCTGATGCCCTCGGGAGCGCCCAGGTCTGCGATCTCCTGCATGTCTTTGGTGATCAGTTCACGGTCACCACTGACTTGGTCATCGGGCAAGCAAGTCGATGGGATAGCGATCAGGTCCGTTCCAAGTACGTGAGCCATGTCGATCCAAAGCTTCATTTCTTGCACCCGCTCGGCGTGTCTTTCCCGATCTCTCAGGCCGTCGTAGTGCATGAAGGGCTGCAGGCAAATTATGCTGATTCCTCTGTCGTCGCACAGCGTTCGCACGTATCTGGCTGCTCTCATGTGATTCTCGGGAGTCGCACCGCCGGGCAAGTCTTTGGCGACATAGTAGAGGTCTTCGTAGAAAAGCTCAATGTCGAATCCATATCGCGCCGCTTGGTCCAACTTGGACGGTAGATCGTGCACCCAAGCACGTCCCAAAGAGTGTGAGCAGATAGCAGGTCGGCAAAGCATCTTTTGCGATGTTCTGCTCGAAATTGTTGCAGTTGAAGAGGAGGAGAAAGAGGTCCAACACTTACAGTCTATAAGACAATGCCAGAATGCATGTGGGTAGCACAAGCTCGCGTATCATCGGGAGGCCCGATTACATCGGCGAGCAATGCAGCATCAAGCAGACATCACGCCCACACAATAATGTGGTGTGGAAGAAGCAAAGTGCGTTGGGGCAGAAGGCAAGACCGCCGCGGAATCCTTTTCTTCCGGCGGGTGGCTGACAGACTGAAGAGCAGAAATGCTGGGACGCTTTCTAAACTTAGACTCCTATCAACAACACGAACATCAACACTCTGCATGCAAGGCATGTTGCATTTTCGGCGCCAAGAAGGGTTCATGGTGTACGAATTCGGAGGAATGCTTCCTCACCTGCACGAGCATACGATGGGGAGCATAAAAATAGCCGCCATTGGAACTGGACCATCCAAGAGCTGACACTCAATCTCCAGGGTTTGCTACATATCCTTCTAATCAACCAGCGCAAGGCCAAACAATATCGGTCTATGCATCGCTGGCTCGCTCGGTAGTCGTCTCCACATGACCGAGCTTCTCTTTCGTGACGCTGAGGCCAGCGCCTTCCGCATCGTGTCGGAACTCCTCGTCCCTTTCGCGGTCTTGTTGGAGGATGATCTTGTTTGCCTTGCGGACGGGCTTGATCTCGAACAGACGATCCATGCTCTCGAGTGGGATGGATTTGGTTTCTGGTACCAAGCTGCGGGAGTTGTCAGCGCTTTCGTTCACCGCTTGGAATCGAGCTTTTGTTCAAAAAGACTTACAACCAGACAAAAGCGATGCTGGCAATCATCATGGATGCGAAGAAAAAGAAGACGCCACATCCACCTGGACCCATGTTCAAGAACATCTGAGGCGTGCAGCGGCTGATGATGAAGTTCTGGAAAGTTGTCAGTCATGTCTCCGTCTTGGAATTGTCTCTTCAACTCACCCAGAGCCAGTTGTTCGCTGCGGCACTAGCCTGACCCAGACCACGAGTGTTCATGTCGAACATCTCAGAGTTCATAACCCATGGTGTACCGTTCCATGATGGAGTGTAGAAAGCGGTCCATAAGTAGAAGAAGAACATGGCCGCAATACCGCCACTGCTCAAACCCTCGGTAGATGTTGTGAGCTTAGATCCGCTGGCACGCGTATAGATGTATGCTCCAATAATCCACATGCAGACAGATCCACCACCGGCACCGATCATGAGGAGGTTTCGGCGACCGAGGTTGTCGATGAGGAAGAACATCCACACAAATGTCAGCACGGTCTTGACCACGCCGAAGATGCCGGTCGTGAGAAAGCCAGCGTTCGTGCCAGCAACACCGATTGCCTTGAACACTGTAGGACTGTAGTAGTTGATTGCGTTGATTCCAGATCCGTTCTGCCACATGAAGAGGAGACCACCGAGCAGGAATCGCCATTGAACTTTGCGGCTCTCCTTGACAGCTTTGAATGGCTTCCAGAAACCCTCACCAATCGATGAAGCTTGCTCTTCGAGAGCAGCATCGAGCATAGCCACTTCTTCCACCATGTAGATGGCATCTGCTGGCAGATTGCGGAGCCAGCAGAGATTCTCAAGTGCTTTTTGTCTCTTGTGCTTGCTGAGCAGCCATCTTGGGCTTTCCGTGAGCCAGAATGCGCCGATGAGCAGAAGGCCACCTGGGATAAGCTGGACGGCAAATGGAATGATCCATTGCTTGTGGCTGGGTGCCATAGTCTCAGAAAGACCATAGTTGATCCAGAATCCCACGAGACCACCAATCTGCCATCCAAGCTCGTATGTCCCGACAATGCGACCACGAATTGCTGGCGGCGAGATCTCGGAAATGTAGATGGGTGTGATCATCGAGCAAGCTCCGACACCGATGCCAGCGAGGACTCTTCCAGCGTAGATCAGGGCAAGTCCTCGGTCACCAGTTGCGCCCAACATGATACCTGCACCAACCATAAAGACACAGGCGAAGATGATCAGCGATGGCTTTCGGCCCAGGAAGAATGCTGAAGGGTATGCGAAGAATGATCCAAAGAAGGCTCCGGCTTGGTAGACAGATACGATGTTGGCCTTTACAAGAGCAAGGTGCGATGTGCTCATGTCCTCGAATTTGAACTCATCCACGAATGCAGGCAAGGCCAGAGTCGTGCCGATGAAGGCACTGTCGTATCCAATCATGCATGAGGCGAAAGATGCTACAGCAGCTGATGCGTAGACTCTCCAGTTGTACACCGCTTTGGGTGTCGGTCGGTCCTCGACCAGCGTGAGGAAGCCGCCCATGTCGTGAAACTGTGTGGTAGGTCTGCTTCCTGACCCCTGTCTCCAATTGGCACTGTCGACCGAACGAGCACTTTCTCAGTGGTCAAGTAGAGGTAGACTTCGACCAAACCACGTGGAAGTAGGAAGTTTCCAATGTCGTGGATGCTGGCCGAAACACCAGTCGACGCATTCGCGGGGAAGATCTGTCACTGTTATACAGGCTTCTGGGGTACCCACGGGGTAAGGTCGAGAGAGGATGAATGAAGGAGGAGGTCATGGCAGACGCACTTCCCACAGTGACTACTAAGGTACTTGGAAGAGAATTCTCACGCTATCCCAGGTGCCCCAGGAGAATCCAGGCGAGGCTTTACCGTGGACGGTAAGGCTCCAGAAGGACCACATGGCCGTGTGGGGATGGTGGAGTTGAGGTACAGAAAAGGAAGTGAACCAACCGGTGTGGGGCCGTCAGACGCCGAGATGGCATCGGCAGGGAAGAGACTTGAGCCGGAACACTCCAAGACTTTTCCGCGCGATTGCCATCATTGTGATGACGAAGAGACGAAAAGATCATTCGGAATTCAGATGAAGGCAGTTTAACCGTGAAGTGGTGCTGACGAGGGAATATTGACCCATTGGCTTCATTTCTCCATACCATTTCGAGGGAGCATCTCGGGCTTGATCAAAACATTGTTCTCCCTATTCACTCATACCATTAGATCCGACTATCGTTTCCAGACCAAGAAGGCGACAGACGACAGACGACAACGCGACAGAGGTCAGAATCATGGAAGTTCAAGAAAACAGCATCATAACGTGTCCCGCACCAGCGGTCGATCACCTAGAACGGCACGGATATCTCTTCGGCTACCCGATTGCACATTCATACGCGCCTTACCTTCACAACACTGTCTTTGAGCAGCTGGAATTACCATGGGGCTTTCGATTACTAGAATCAACGGACATGAGCCAGTTTCTGACTCTGCTCAAGGATCCAAGACTCTATGGTACTTCTCTCTCCAGCATGGTTCCGTTGGCCGTCTTTGCTGACGTACGTCTCAGGCTCCGCAGTGACCATGCCTCATAAGGTGGCGATCATCCCGCACCTAGACGACTTGACAGAGGAAGGTCGAGCAGTGGGTGCCGTGAATACGATCTTCCGCAGAGGAGACCAGTTCGTCGGAACTAATACGGACACAATCGGCGTGAGGGAAAGCTTTTACCAGAACATATCACGGCCTGATGAAGTCTTTCACGGACGGCCTGGGATGGTCGTTGGCGGCGGTGGCGCGGCTCGGTCGGCTGTGTATGCTCTTGTCAAGTTTATGCGTTGCGAAAAGGTGTACGTTGTGAATCGTGATCCGTCTGAGGTGGAGGCTGTCATGAGCTGGTGCAAGTCCCAAGGCTATGGAGATGGACTTGTTCATGTCAAGTTAGCTGCTGAGGCGGAAGCACTGGAAGGTCCCGGTGCCATCGTGGCTTGCGTACCCAACTTCCCTCCCGTGACTGACGCCGAGAAGGAGGCTCGAAGGATAACAGAAATCTTCCTGAACAAGTCGCATAAAGGCGCTATGCTCGAAATGTGCTACCACCCGTCACCATGGACCGAGCTTGGAGCTATAGCGGAGCAAGCTGGCTGGCAAGTCATCCTCGGCACAGAAGCGATGATCTATCAGGGCCTCGAGCAACACACATTGTGGCACGGACGGACAATCGAGGACCTGCCGGTCGCTGCGGTGAAGGATGTCATTGCGCAAGAGCTGGCAAAAGCCAGGTTGTAGCTGTTTCTCGCAAGTGACCGGCTTAGTCGTCGACATTATCGGCACGTGGGCCAGACCAGTCATGTCGCCACTCTGTTGGACTAGTAACGGCGTCTTTTCAAGCCAAATCCTTGACTTTCATCAGAAACCGGCCTCACAGCACGAGATGTATGTACAAAGTCCTCAGCAGGCTTATTCAGGTGGCCGGCAGAAGTATCGTTTTTATGTAAACACCTTCCCCAGTTGTGTCAAGTTCCGTCATTGCTTGGACCAAGTAATGCTGGATCATATGCCTGGCCGTGAATAGTCCAACGTCTGCACGCGGCGCCACACCTCACGCACAGTCCGTTCTTGACTTTGACGTCCGCTCTCCGTATCGGAATCTCCAGCCGGCCGAATCGCAAGGTACAGGCGGCTACCGAGATGTGCGTCAGGGATCGAAGTAGTTTCCGGATTTGAAGGAGGGTTTGCAGTTGTGATGAGGCCGCCTGCTTCCTTGACCAGACAGAATCCTGCGGCAACATCCCACTCCCTGTATCGTGCGTTAGCAACTCAGCTGAAAGTTATGGATCAGGCGACTGTGCAGCACAGACCAACAGCCCCCTTCCCACCAGATATCGAAGCCTCCCGTGGCTATGTAGCATAGGTCGAGCGTTGCAGAGCCCAAGCTCCGTACGCCGTGCACCATGCCTCCGAGCCCATCGCGCCCACCGAGTTCGGCCGCTAAGTTCATGAAGCTGTTCACTTTCCTGTGCATGTTACCGTCTTTGATGTCTCGTCGGTCTTTGCCCCATTCGCCTGCGTCAGAGTAGTCAGCATTAGGCGCCTAGACCCATGTGATGTTCACCGACAAGAGAAGACGCAGCCTTTCGGTGCGGCGGCCGGCATCGGGGGTGTAGGATTGCGGTCAAGAGGTAGCTGAGTTGTCTCGTTCAGCCACGCTCCTTTGCCTTGACATGCAGTAAACCTGGCTATATCAGCCTCGATGGATTTGAACGAACAAACGCAGGCTGGCTCACAATTGCCGAAGGAATGGTGCGTTGACAGCACCCACTACCGGGTTGCCGTTCCAGAGAAACGCTATTGAGACGCAGTAAAAGGGCGCGCGATGCGTGAAATTGACCGTACCTGAGCAGGTGTTGAGCGGAGATAGTCATGATGCTTCAAAGCCGAATGTGCATACCATCGAGAGGATCAACACACCAACTAGGGCCTTTGTCGGGGATTAGGAATTCTCTTGATGCTCCTTTGCTATAGGTCTCCTCGCCGATGAATCTGCATCTGGCATCAGCTTTCGGTACTGAATAGGCGCACATGATCTGCCGGGAAGGAAAATTTTCTCTTTCACGTACGTATGTGTTGGGAAGCGATCTGCTACTTTGGTACGTATGAAGGCCTCAACATCTTCGAATGATCACCAATCAGTGCATGCAAAGGAAATAATGTGAGTATGGCGCCGGGGGCCGATGAGCATGAGCGAGCCCACACTATTTCATGCCCGTTCACCAGCAGCAATCCATGCAATCCGTTGAAAGTCAAGCTTTGAGAAAAGAATTGAAGTATCAATGGACCGTGAAAGGGTAGCAAGAACTAGGCTGAAGGACTTGCACGAGGCAAAGAATGCCGCTAGAAGCTCGACGTACACTCACCTTCATCAGTCTGCGTCACGATGTCGACGGCAGATTCCTTCTCTGTGGACTGTGGTTGACCGCTTCTTCCCACTGCATCTAGGAGTATCTGGCCAGCCTCTTTGGCCAGCTGAACCGTGAAAGCGTAGATTTCGTCCAAGTCAACGCCATCGAAAGCAGTGCTAGCGGCCATGATGCGGGGGAGAGTCTTGATTGGCCTCAAGAAGCGGTGTAGACCAAGCAAAAAGGAAGGTATTTGTGGCAGGAATAGAGGTGAGGTCAATCCACGCGATTGCAACGCGAGTCACCAGGATTTCCATAGCGTACAGCGTCTTACCACATCGGAGTGAAAGTGACTAGGGTCGGACCGCTGAATAACAAGTTTCTATTCGCTATAATCCATAAGGAGCAAGGGTTTGGTGAATACCCACTTTCACTCCGATGTGATCAGACGCTGTAAAAGGAGGCAGGATAATCCTTGCCGAAATACACCCTGCCGGTAGCCGAAGCCAAATGGATCTGACACTGGAGAAACATACAGATGGCATATACAAGTATAGCAGCATTTTAGATAGTATATCCTATTACTCTGGTATGCTAAGATAGTACTATTTTTTTCTTTAAACAGTTAGTGATTTCTAAAAATTAAGATAGGCTTCTTTTTTAAAAAAAACGGCTTTTGGGAAAAGTCCAAGCCTACACCACCTACAGAATCCAAATGACACACGATTCCTAAGAACTGCTAGTGGAATATTAAATAAATTTTTAATTTAGCGAGATTTGATATTAGCACATTTGCTGGAGCTTAAATAAGTCGCTAAAGCCGCTTAAAGAAATAGTAAGAGACTGTAATAGATCTGTTGTGGCATCGACCTGCTACAGCCAACCCAAATCGGGCCTCAGTAAGACAGTTCCGAGTCTGGGCCAATCCCAAAGGCTGCGATAGAACTACTGGGACGCAATACAAGGCAACGCCCGCAAAGCCGGCCGTTATAGCTGATACGTATCTACATCATTGGTTGCAAAGATCTCCTCCTGCAGGCTGGAGGCAGTGGCGTGAAAACCAGCTCTACGGATCTTGAACAAGCAACTCCCGAACAGAAGAAGAAATTAGAAGACAAGGATATGAACTTGTATCCGAAGCTGGACTCTCGAGCAAGGCAAACTAGAACCTCTTCGCATTCACATGCAAATCCTGCAACGCAGCATTAAACCCCTCCATAGCCTTCAAAAACAATTCCGGCCCAATACTAATCCTCGCGACACCCAACCGCGCCAGCTCTCCAGAATTCAAAAACCCAGCCCTCAAATTCATCTTCACATTAACCATCCCTCCCAAACCTTCCACCAACCGTCTAATCTCCTCATCTCTCAAACCCCTCCCACTCGGCCCACCCCAAACAAACACCGTCAAAGCCCCAGCCTTCAAGAACGCCTTGCCTCTCTCAATAGCTTCCTCAATCGTCCCCCCTTTCGCCACAACATCCGTGCGAGCATTGACACAAAAATCCGGAACTCCACATTCCTTCGCCGCTGCGACAGCCCGCGAAATTCTCTCAACAGCTTCGCCAAAAGGTCTCAATTCTTCAGTCTCATGATTCTCATCTTCGAGATTACACCCTACGGCTCCAGCCTCGATGGCTTTCCTGATATTCGTTGCGAGATCTTCGTACCCATCTTGCATATCTGCGGTCAGAGGAAGGGCAAAATTTTCGACTACGGCACTGATTCTCCGGATTCCGGCTAGGTTGGCTTCGAGGATGAGGCCTGCGTCTGTGAAGCCTGAGGTGGCTGCTATGGCGTATGAGGCTGTTGCTACTGCTTTTGTTGAAGGGTGGGAGCATACTGCCGAGGCTGTTGCGGCGTCGTAGCAATTTGTTAGGACGATTGGGTTTCCTGGGATATGGAGAGAACGAAGGGTCTTGGCTAGGGGATTGCGGTGGGCGAATGCCATGATTTTCCGTCTGGAAATAGAATGTGTTGAATGATCTGAATGGTTTCCTGGGTGATTCAGCGCATGTCGTTTGACTTCTATATCGCGCTACCTCGGGGTTCCGGTGGCTGACATTGACTCAATATGATGATTCCAAGCTTTGCTGACATAACATGCATAGGGCGTGAGCTGTTGCCTGAAGCGTCAACAGAGAATTTTGCTGAGTGTGTTAGGCTGAGATTGCTTGAGATGTGCCCAGTGATGTAGTGGTAGCTTGGAGCTCAGCTGGAGCTCCCCTCTGGTAGCTGCTGCCGAGAGATTGACTGTTTTGGGTGGCCAAGACGCAGAAATTTTCAGGTCGCTGCAGCCATGAGAAGTTGTGGTGATGCTTGCATAGTCAGCACATGAATTTTCAGCCTTGAGTCGTTGGATGAGCGTCGTTTGCTGCTCGAGTCTACTTTCATATTGTAAGTGTCTTGCTTCGCATCAACCTCAATGCTGATATATGCCTGCACTCAGTAATCATGGACTCGAGATACATCCTTCTTCCTCTTATGAAACGCCAGAAAATTCAATACCCCAGGTAGCCGCACTCATTCCACGCATTAGAAAAACCCAGAACGCCAGGAGTCCATACTGTTTTGTGGACGTACCATGCTGCCTTCAAACGCCGTCCGTATATGCATCATGTTACAGTCCATGCCCGTTGACATCGCTGCTAGCGATACCATGGTTGTGAAGGTGCTGTTCGAGCTGGGCGTCGATTTGTGAATCAAATTGCTGGGGCAGACCCATTTGCCCTGACATACTACTCAGGTCGGCGGCGCCCAGACTGGCCTGCAGAGCCATCTGTTCCTCTGGCACTGTCTGCTGGTGGAATGATTGAGCGGACATTACAAATGTGTTTTGAGGCTGCATCGAAAAGTCCTGAGTGGAATAGTCCTCTTGCGGCTGTGCGTGTGCTTGATGATCGCCGAAAGACTCTGTAAGTGCGTTGTCCTGAGCTTGTTGCTGTCGCTGTGCCTCGGCAGCGGCAGCTGACTGTGCTAATGTAGGCAAGTCTGGATGAGTTTCGAGGAGTTGCTGGCGTGTCAAGTCGTCGATGGGCGTGCCGGTTTCTTCGAATTCGATCACGCGGAGCCACTTCCGTTTCATCTTGGACATGGTTGTCGTACTGCAGACGATGCCAAAACGGTCATGAATCAACCAGACGAGGTCATCAAGATAGCGCGTCCGGTTTTTAGGGTCTCGTAGCCACTCGCGGACCTCCTATGTGCACAGCAGGGGTCAGTGCCGATGCTTTGACATGAAGATGGCTTGATAGGGACTCACCAATTCTTGCTCCGGTGTCAGGACCTTGGGTCGGCCGTTCTTCTTGTTCAGCTCAGGCGGCATATAGTTGGTGCCATGTTGCTGTAAGCATCGCTTCATGCGATATATGCTGCTCCGGCCGACTTTGAGTTTGCGATGGATGGTGGTTGGGTCGAAGCCAGCTTCCAGCAACTCCTTGATCTGCTCCTGCACTTCGGGCGACTGTTTGCCTGAGCCTGGCATTGTACCAGACCTCCTCGAGCCTTCACTGGGCGCAGGCGCAGGCTTCGAAAGTGCTGGGTGTGCCAGAACTTGTTCCCGCGAGGTTGCATGCAGAACAGGTGGGAAAAACAAAAGATGGGATAATTGAGGCGAGGCGAGGCGAGGCGAGCACTTGAGGAGCCGCAAAATCCCGGGAGCATCCGCCACCCGCAAACTCTATTCCAGTTCTATTTTGGTGGCCCGGGTCCTTTCGAACAAGGCACTGTACTTCATCATCACAATTATGACATTCTCCTCTCCCTCCCTATCATCATTCCTATTATACATTACGCATTCGCGCATTCCGGAAAAACCTGCTTACCGTCCGCGACTCTAGCATTCCAAACACGACAAGTTCCGTCAAAAATCGCCGTAACAAGACTAAAAGGCGTAGTCTGTTTCTCATCCGGGATCCATTGGTTACAGACCGGTCTCACAAGGTTTTGAAGGGGATCTTTCCAGACGGCCCAGGCTATGCAATTTTTTCCTGCGGCGTCTTCTGGCGTCTGGTCGACGTAGGTAATGCTTGGTAGTTTGCGCGGTTCTAGATCCAGAACGGGCGATGTGAGCGCGGTTGAGGCTGTAAGGGCGAGGAGGGTGAGGGTTGAGATGAATGGGGCCATGATGGTTGGTTGGTTGTGGAGTTGATTTGTTTCTTGATTTTGGGGTAACTTGGATCTATCGCGTGGGAGAGGAGAGCAATCTTGGTCTCTGGTCTCTTTTGTGTTTGAAGCGGATGTTTCGGAAAGTCTGTAGCATTGAGTGGAATGGTTGACGAAATTGATGAGAGAGTGCCAAAGTTTGCAGAGAGAAGGAGTGGTAGCTCCCCCAAACCATGTGGAGACAATCCTTGCCTTCCATTGCCTCTGGGATTGCTTTGGGTCAGTACTTCGCCGCGACTCGGTCGATATCCTGATAGTGTTCATGATGGCCATATCGACAAGACCTTTCTCTACTTGGCCGGAGTAAATTCTGGTTTCTGTGATTCAATGTCAACCAGAACGTGCAACGACAAGGCTTCATTCCTGGTTCAGCCTCGTCTCGCCGCAGGGGCATTGAGCTGGCGTTCTTCTCTGAGTAGAGACAGTGGACTGCACTCATCAAGCTGATGAAATGGGATCAGGCAAGTAGTGATGACCAGTTTCGGTTCATTTGATATGGAGTACTGGAGTCCATGAAGCCATGTGTTGAACTTGTGTCCTCGGGCAGCGAACCATCACTTCACGCACGTCTCCCTCCCTCAGCGCTTACGCACAATCGCAATATCATATTGATCAACCTTAAACTAACAGTTCTGCCTAGAAGTCAGCTCCGTGCCAGCGTTGCTTTCTAGAGAGCAATAATCTCCTGAAATATCTCCGCGTGTGTCCAGAGATGCTCAGTAAACGGCTTCAAGTTCGCGGTCCAAGCCTTGTGATCAAACCACCTCTCTTTGCCATTTCGCGGCACAAAAGAGTGCACGGTTGTATCGCCATTCCTGCCCTTGCACAAATCCCAACGATTCTTCGTGCCGAAGATCTCGGTGTTGCAGGTGTAGGCTCTGTATGGATTTTCTCGGCAACAGGTCCGTTGACACCAAATTGGCCGAACCAGAGCATGAGACTCGTTGGTATCGTTTCTGTGGCATTTTCCATCACGACTTTTGGGGCCTTAATGCTGGCAGTCTGAAATTACCCGTGAGTCACGGATTTCTTACCTGCAAACAGATTGTTAACTAGGCTTCTTTGTCGACACGAGGGCTGTGATCCAACTAGCAAATTCAGGTCAACAACGTTCGTCGCTACCTACTGGCTCCGCAACGCAGCGAGCCATTAGGATGGATTCTTTTTCCGCCTGATTGTAATCATGCCGGCTTCATGAATAGCTGGGATCCATCCATGTTGAGAGGAAAAGTCGCGCAAACGACTCCGGCCGGTGGCTTCTTTTTGCCAATGTGCTTGCACGATTTTTGAGTGAAGTTCCGGTATCGTGATATAGCGGTGCGGGTCTATCGATCCATTCTCATCGAGGTATTGCGCTCGAAGATGCGACAAGAGCTCAATTGCGATTTCGTCGAGGGTAGAGTAGTTTGAATCGGAAAGTAGTTTACCGACATGTTCGCTGAAGTAGTGATCGCACGTAGCATACACGTCCTTGACTGCTGAGAATCTCCTTGGGTGTGGAATGCGATAGTCCTTGCACTGAGCAATGCGAAGCGATTGGAGTGAAGTTGGCAATACATCACAAAATTTAGCAGGCTGAATTTTTCCTCCGTCATGCTGGAATAAATAAAAGATGTCCAGATGAAGATGCTTCAAGTGATCCATGGATTTTAAATCGCTGATCTGATTTTTCGTTGCCCAGCCCACCCTTTGGGGCATCAGCGTCAGTCTTTGCAGCCCCGGAAACTGCCTCGCAATGATAGATCCTATATCGCTACCCAGATCAGCAGTAAAAGCCTGGTCGTAGAGCTCCAGACTTTGAAGGTCACGGAATCTTGTCGCCAGATTTGCCAAGTTATTTGCATTGAGACGCGCGCCATCGATGCGGAGACTGGGTAGCTGGAGAGGCTCTGCCAAAATATTCCATAATACAGGGTTCTGAGCAGTGTCGATGCGTAGATCCACAAGAGATCCTCTACTCACTAAACGACTCAAGACACGCCTGAATTCGGAAATCGTGCAAGATTTGCGCAGCAAGTGAAGGTGCTTGAGTTTGGAAAAGATAGAAGATCCGTCCTTCGGGGAAGGCAGACGATTCAAAGAGCGCCCAAGACTCGGGATCGAAAGCTCTAGGTCTTCCAGTGCGGTGCAGAGTACAAAGAGGAGATAAATCATCTCTTGACGTACGCCATGACGTGCTCCTAAAGTGTAGGTGCCATCCAGGAACTTGATCGCCGGGAAGTGGCCTTTGTCGCGCAGCAAGTCGTTGTAGGACCTCCTATCCAATACGATCTTCGGTACTTCATCCCACAGAGCTATTGGTGTGAGAGTCTCGCCGCCATTGAGGTTGACGAAAATGAGTCTTGATTTGCCGCCTGGGTCCGCCGGGTCTGGCACGAAGTCGCCAACTCTGATTCGACGGACGTGCAATGCCAGCTCGCGTCTGCGCAGTAAGGTCTGGAGGAGTAATTCGAGGGACCCGAAGCTCTCCAAAGAGCCATCGATATCGATGGAGCTGTACAGGTAAGGCTCTGCGATCCGGCAACAAGTTCTGCTTGCCACAGAAAGTGCATTCAACGCCTTTCGAGCTTGTGCATCGCCTCTCCAGGCAGGCCCTCGGTGAGACCTCGTTGGCTGCATAGGATCGAGATGGGAGACGATGTGCTCCAGCACCTCAACAGGCAGGTAGTAGCTCATGGCTCTTGATTGAAGAGGCCGAGGAGGGCGACCTTGCTGGGAAGGCAACAAACGATTTCGAGAATTGAGAAGAAGTTTGGGGCGAAGTGGGAAAGAATATTTGCGCGCGAAGAAGAAATACCACACTCGCCATCCATGTCAAGCTTGACACGTTGTTGCACAGCGTTAAGCAGCTATTTTTCATTTAAGCTAGTAACTACTAAGACTTGCTACTCCTGTACGCTGATTGGCTCAACGATCAGCTTGTGCCACACATTGAGCCACACACTTATGTAATCCCATTTCCGTCTGGTCTGGAGATGGATTGACTCAGCTATTCCCAAGCTGAACGTCCTTCCAAGAGCAATGTGCGGTTTTCGAACATCTGCCACAACAGCAAATGCACGGTGTCGAATTGCCATTTCATTTCGAGAGACTGGGAAGGCCAAAGTGCCGTCAAAAATCGGCCTTCCCTGCCGTAGCTCCCTTGACCCGCGATACCCGATTCCGAGGTCCGCCGATGAGATCACTACAACTGCGAGCAGCAGCAAGCAGCACTTCTAACATCGAAACGGCGTAGATAGCCGTGCGTAGCTCTTCAATTCAAGGTACCGCTGTATGAAACAAGCTCTCTCATTCCTTCTCTACACACATCACGATGGCCACCAGATCAGTGCCGAATCTCTCCTCAGAAGCGGCGGCAGTGGCTGCAAATGCAGCCCAAGAGAAGGCCAAGTCAATGGGGATTGGTATAGAAGTACACTCTCTTGAGTTGCTGTCGACCTGTGCTTACGCTGCATCTCTAGACTTCAACATAGCCATCGTAGACGCTTCGCTTTATCTCCTCCACTTCGTCCGAATGCCCAACGCGAAGCTTACCTCGATCGATATCTCCATCAACAAAGCCTTCACAGCAGCTGGTCATCGCGTGCCTACAGCAACATATTCGACAGGTACCAAAAACTTCTTGCCTGGCGGCCCCGGATACGGCATTCATAATTCGAACGGTGGGAGGTTCACGTTGATTGGAGGTGGAGTTCCAGTACAGATTGACGGCCAGGTTGTAGGAGCTATTGGAGTGAGCACAGGCACACCGGCGCAAGATGTTGAGGTTGCGCAGGCTGGTGTGGATGCAATAAATGCTTGGATCAAGAGGAGGGAAGGGTCGAAGCTGTGAGATAGTAGCCAAGATATGGACACAAAATCGTGACTTGATCATGCATACGCTTGCTGATATTAATACGCTATATGGGATATTTCCGACGCTATGCTTTGGACAGATGCTACGCCTTCTTTCTCTGTCGTGCCTTACTGCGGGTTGAGGCAGCCGGGGTGGTGTCGGCCTCTTCGGCATCTTCGTCTTCAGCAGCGTCATCTTCATCCTCTTCATCCGTGACAGGTTGCGGTGGTGCCTCCGCTTCGATCGGTGATAATGGCGATTCTGGCCCAGGTACTGCATGCGAGATCTGCTTCAAGATCTTCTTCTCCTCGCTTTCCACGCCATTCATAGTATGACATTGACTACACCTCCATCGTCCGACGTCCTCTAGCGTTCGTGCTCCTGGCGGTGCTTGTCCGTTGACTAGCCTGCAATTTTGGCAGATCAATGCGATCCTATTCTTTGCAGATGTCTCATCTTCGCCGAGCACCACATCGAGGATGCGGTCGTACCACTTAGGCCCATCATACGCGTACTGTGACGGTTGTTGCAAGGTTGGTGGTCGTGTGAAGGCATTTGGCGCAAATTCTTCTCCTGGCGCCTCTAGCTGAGGCAAAATGGGAGAATTTGGCGATGCGGGTGGTCTTGGGACGAAGCCAGGCTCGACTTGTGGAATCTGAGGTGCAGACGGCGGAGGCTGCCTACTAGGTATGTTTGCAGTAGGAGGCGGCGCGAAACCTGTCCTGCCGTGGATTGGTGTACTTGGCTTACTTCCAGGTCCACCTGTTGACTGTCTCTTTGCGTTCGGTCGCGGTGAAGGCTGCCTCTTTTCAGGTGGAGATCCTCCATATTTCTCCAACAGCTTCTGTGTGCTGTCATATTTGGTCGCGTGCTTCAGTCTCTCGATCGCCTTGTTCCGTTCTTCCTGCAGCTCATTGATGTGATTCTGCGAATTTGCTATCCGCCAATTGTAGTATGCATCAAGCGCGGTGCGGATGCCAAAGATCACCACTGGGCTGCCAGCCACCAGGCTGTACTCTACCGCTCCCCATTTCTCGTAGCCCGTAACCAAGGTGAGAATAGCCGCGACCAGTATGTATGCGAAGACCGAGTAGAGAGTCCATAGGACTTTATAGCGTCGCCGCCGTTGCTGGAAGCGCTCGTTCTGTGCAGTAGCCTTAGTGATTTTGGTAGACAGCTGGCTCAGGATCTTTTCGAAGGACGCGGCATCGTTGGAGTCGCCTTTGAAAGGCCAGAAAGACACCATTGTGTCTGTATATCACCGGTGCAGGTTCATGTCGGAAATGATTTGTGCACTCAAGGTGTTTGCTTGATTGACTTATAAAGTCATGATTTGTCGGTGGAGCTCGCGTGCGCACGAGGTGACGATGCTGTGCGGAAAGGGCTTCCGCGACTCACTCACTTTGACCGCGACTTCCTCATCATCATTCACGAACATCACCACGAAGTCCCGTGCTTTCAACCATCAAAGTGCGAGTCGCGAGTCAGACCATCACGGACCATCTGCTCATCAATCACATGCTTATGCTCAATCGGTGACCTCCAGGCTCCAGACTACCCCAAACGTGGCCATGCCACCTCCACTGTCTTCTATGTCAAGATCCTTGAGACTGGCCACGGGGAGAAGATCACGAATCGAGCGTCATGTCTCAACTGGGAATAGAGTCCAAGGAAAATGAAAGTCTGGCACCAATAGGATAATTCTATCCAGTCTGTGGCATGGCACATGGCACATCACCAGGTTAAGGGCGCTTACACTGGCCGGCGCTTAATGTTGCGCACAACACCTTGCCTTGGCCTTTCATTCATCTCAGCGGCACAGCAATCCATTCGCCACATGCTTGAGACCAGGCGCAGCAGTGGCATTCACCTCCTCTCACCGCACCTTGTGACCAGGCCATAAATGCGTCAGAAAGCATTTGAGAACCCGAACCGCTATTGATTTTGTGCATGAAACGGTGCTCTATTGAAGCCAGCACTGTGACCGCGAGACCTCGGCGGTACGGACTTCAAGATATGTAGGTACAGTGCCACGAGAAATGCTCGTGCTCTGAATCCATCATTCTCTTCTGCTCATCCCGCTGTGCGGTCCGTATTGGTCGATTTAAAACACTTGTTTCCGTATTTCTTAAGTAATTACCTGGTCTGGTCTGGAACCATGGCGCCCGCTCATTTGACACTTTTCCCCAACACGCAAAGTACTGCTGGTGTATCTCGCAGATCAAGTCTGAGGCGACTGCAAACGGACAAGGCACCAAATGCAAATGGACAGATGCTGCTGGATGGAGTTGCCTTTCAAGTGGTCAGCTCACCCAAAGTCCAGCCTGCGCCGGAGACTTTCCAGCATTCTCTTTTCTGCGATCCGCCTACAACCGGCAGTACGAATTCTCATGCTAAAGCTACGACATCAGTGACCGATGATCTGGTCAGAAGCCAGTCAAGGACCAGGAGACGCTCAAGTCCGTTGTCAACGCCAATGCCATCCATTGCAGATCCTGTCTCACCAGGAGGCGACCAATTGACCGAGCTGCCACTAAACACCCATTTCGGATCCAGCACGTCCCCAAAGCGATCTCGATCTTTGCTAAAGCGGCCAAGCAAGCCCAACGACATATCAACGCAAGTGTCCCGAGCCATCGAGTTTGCCTCACCAGTGGACGAGAAGAAGGACGCGGTATCTCCTTTGCCTGACAAGCTTCGCTTCAAAACAGCTTCACCTCAGTCTGAACATGGCAAGTCGCTCTCTCAAAGTCCACGAAGCTCAAGCTACCCATCTCCGATGCGCTCTATATTTCCTCGATATGACCATTCAAGGGCCCTGGACGAGCAGCAATATTACCCTACGACGAGAGCAGCACCACCACCTCCGAGTTACACAAGTCCGGTCATCGCCCAGGGCCACCAATCAATGCCAAGAGGTGAAGTACAGCGGTTCGACTCTGCTGTTGGCCTCGTCGACCGATATGAGCATATACCTGCCGCTGGCCATGCAGATTTGGAAGCTTTATGGAAGGCATCAATTGAGAGCTTCCCCTGTGATGGCCGGAAAGTGCAATTCTCTCTACTTCAACCATCCACTGGCACATCGCTAGCCATTGGCACGTCCTGGGAAGACGTTATCTATAACATGGACAGGGTCGAGGGCACTACGCGAGAGTCCGCGAAAGAATATGACGTGAATAAGCTCTGCCCAACAGCACCCTGCTCGACGCCAGTATCCCACCTTGTGCTGCCCGAACCTGCTGGTTCCAGTAACAAGAAGCTCTCGGCAACGACCATCTTCCCACGAATGGCTGCGATTTCCGCGGTGGAAGCAATATCCAACTCTCCCCAAGCCGCCGAAATCGCTGTCTTCGACCCTTTTGCAACCTCAAAGGAAGCAGAAAGTCTCGCTCAAGATGCTGTGGCTGATGCACATGCAGACTACAGTTGCGATCTGATCAAACGTACTCGGAAACGCGACAGCTTGGGCACAGTCACAGCAGCTTACGATCTCAAGCACCCTTCGCTGGGTACTATAGCCATAACGGTCACGAAATCTACCTCTAACCCATCAAACCCGGGTCCCCGAGCCAAGATCTCCCTCCATCATCCTTCTGCTACGCCTGCGGCCATCGCAGCTGGTACTTTGAACTTGGCCTTCCTGGATTTTGCGCATGATGCTTGTGTCTTGGACATTCCTGGACTTCTGGCATTGGACAGTCATTACGTTATTGATACAGTGATCTCTGCACTTTTCGCCGTGGCAGTGATTGAGAATGACATTTTAGTTAGGGAGCAGGTGACCTTTGAGCCGCCTCCCAAGACTCCGGTGCAGAACAACAAGAAGGTCGAGAGAAGAACATCGATCAGTTCTGTGACTAGCAAGAAGTGGCAGAGGAAGAAGAAGAATAAGAAAGCTGCTGAGCCAGAGCAGGTCGAATTACCTGGATTCGGGAGGGCGGTGGTAGGACTGAGCTGGATGGCGGTGAAGGGGGCTTTCTGGGTTGTTGGCTCTGGTGTAAAGCTTGGCGTGAATATTGTGAAGGAGGTGAGGAATGCTTGAGAGGAAGCTTGTGTATATCGAAAATACTAAATGATTTCATTGTGTCAAATGTATTGCTTGCCATCTCTGAGCTCTGAGCCTGCTGCTTCAGACGTGCCTTCCCTCACGTTTTAAAGTTTCGCCTCACCATTTCACATGTGCAAGACGGCAAGCGGGTCCCCAGCCCTTCAAGTAGTCACTTCGAAATTTCAACTTCGAAACTCCAAATCAAAATCTTCTCCAGTTATCACACCAACAGCTATGGCGACCGTGTTGCACACAGGCGGTGGCACGCGCCAAGAGCAGGACAAAGTGAGTTGCAATCTTCGACGACAGCGGCACATAACTAATTTGTGGTCAGCCCTTCAGGCTCCTCGATCTTCCACCAGAGCTCTGGGTCGGGATCGGACAGATGGTGGCAGACGATGCCGCGAAACGACTCAAAGCCTCGACTATCGAAAAAGCGAGTGCGGGACCGTGGATATTGGAGAGCACGACCGAGCAGAACAAGCAGCTGCCGCAGCCTGCCATTACAAGAGTTTGTCGTGTGCTCCGCCAAGAACTACTCCCGTACCACTACGATAATAACGTGACTCTTATCGTCCTTGAGAATTACATTGACTGGATGCGCGAGAGAATGAACCAGTGGCTGTCAGCTATTGGTGTCGAGTCAAGAAAGAAGATACGATCAGCCTATATTCTGTCAGCGGGAAAAGCGCTCCGTCATTCAAGACGTCGCTGCTTTGCAAATGCGTTCTTCTTGAAAGATGTTGCCGTTGATATTGGTCCGCCAATGCTCAATTCAGACACCCCAGAAGATATCCAGGAGTATCTTGGCTGCATGGGCCGATCGTTTCATCGTCACAAATGGGCCTGGAAGATCACATTTCAATGAGAGGCGCCTGAGATCGCCTATGAGCATCGCAGGGGCGCTAAGTCGACGGCCATGATATCTGTGGCAAAGAGAAATGATCCAAACGCCTCTCTCGAGCGTTCTGTGGGAAGTTGAACGTGATGGAGAGAAGTTCAGGACGGGAGAAGCAATAGCGGAGATAGCATACCTGGAGAGAGAAGCTTCAAAACTGGACACTCCTTCCCCTTCTCAACCTCCCGCCAGTATCGCATCGCATCACTCAATCAAACCCTCAGCATCCTCCCTCGCAACACCCATAACTTCCCTGACATGTCCAGCCCCCAAAGCCTCCTCATTCGCCTTCGCCAACAATCTAGCCATCTTCATGATATTCTTAATCTGCCTCCCATTCAAATCCTCTTCAGCGAACTCTCGAATCTCGTCCTCAGAAATCTCAGCCCCACGCAGAAAATTCTTCCAAATCCCCTTCCTCGACTCCACATCAAGCGCCTTGAATGGCAAAGTCAGATGAATGCGCGAGTAGAAAGCATCATCAAAACTGATCATCCTGTTGGTTGTGAGGATCAGAATACCTTTGTAATATTCCAAAATGCGTAAGAAGGCGGCGACGCGTTTGTTGCGATCTCGAGCCGAGAAATGATCGACTCGCTTTTCGAGAAACGCATCGGCTTCGTCGAGGAGAAGGACTGCATTCCATTGCGCAGCGAGTTGAAGGACTTGGCCGAATTTCTCCTCGATTGCTGCGACTGTGTCGCCGAGTTCGCTGGCGCTGACTGCGTAGAGAGGGATCTGGAGACGGTCGGCGATCGACTCGGCGGTCAGAGTTTTTCCTGTTCCTGGAGGGCCTGGGAGAAGTAAGACGAGACCTTGACCTTTCCCTGCGATGACATCGTCGACTTGGGAGTCGGTTTTATAGATTTGTTGTTGTTTGATGAGGGCTTCGAGAAGCTTTTTGCGTGCTGGTTGCATAACGAGTGCGTCGAAGGCGTTGGCGTTCCAGGTGATGTCGGAGATGTTGGTTACGTTGAAGGTGGCCCAGAGTTTGGAAGTTAAGCAGTAACCTCGTACGATGGGACGGACGAAGGCTTCTGGTGGACTGCCGAAGACTGATGTCGTCCAGCCGTGTTGGTTGAGGAGATTCGATCCTGAACGGTCGTCGGGGTTGTCCACGGTCTCGCGTAAGTTGGTTTTGCCAACTGAGAGCACTGGGTGTAAGTTGAAGTTTTCCATCACGGAGAGGTAGGTGTAGCCCTCCAGGCTTAATCCTGCGTTTTGCTGATTGGGCTGTTTCGGGAGCAATGCTTGCAGTCGGCCAGGTGAAGTCGACATGTTGCCAGTCTCATTCTCTAAGCGGCTCTTGCCTGAGGTTTGCTGAACGTAAGATTTCGAGTCGGCGACCACACGGCCGGAGAGATATCTCTGACCCATGCTGTGAATGTCGGCCAACCCCTCATGAGACCGATACGCCACTCCCTCAGATATGAGTTTGGCAACTCTTGTGCCGCGAATGGTAGCGGCCTCCTCCACTGCATTCGCATCAAAATGGAGATGTACTGGCACAGCAGGAAGCTGATCGATACCCATAGTGCCATCGAACCCAGCTACGATGTTTGTTGATTTGCGCCAGCCAAAGACGCTACCATTGTGATCGATATCCTTCAAGACAAGCTGAAAGACTTTTCTACCTTCCCTGTCCGTAAAGTACTGAGCATCATCAACCAAGTACAGATGCTGGCTCGAGCCTTGACCGCTGATAACGGGACAGCCTGGTGGAAACATCGCCCAGAGGCTGTCGAAGGTAACTTCCCCGTTCCGCGCAAGATTCTTGATATCCTGCATGCTGCTCCCGCCGATCTCTTCTTTAAGCACACCGAGAACGGCAGCGAGTTGCGCCGCTCCTGCTGGATCGGATGCGGCCGTTCGGACATAGATGTATTGAAGCTTCGCCCATTGGTGGAAGAAGGGACGGAAAGGCGGAGCATATTTTGGTTCCTCCATGTGTGCAGATGGCTCGCCGGGGTAATTCTCGAAGAGTCGACGAACAACATCCTTGAGGAAGGGACTACGCATGACCATGGTGTGAAGCCTTGTAAGTTTGGTGTCGGAATTAGTGTCCTCAACATATCTGTAGGGAAGGGTCAGTCAGAGTTCTCTATTATGTTCTTTGCTTCACTCACCGAAGGACAAGAGCACTGCCTGTGGTATCCGGCTTGCTGGTGTAGGCTGGCATCGAAGTATGCCAGGTTATCTGCCCATGACGAGTGGGAACGCCATACAGAGTCTGCACAACAGATGCCTCTTTGTCAATGTCACCATCGTCTGGAGAGATATATTCGCCATCATTCGTGGTTTTGCGACGCTTGGCGCAAGTGCGATTGCTCGAAGCGTTGTTGCTGCTGATATCCCTAGGTTCCATCATGTCGAAAGCTGTCTTGTCGAATGCTGACTTGTAGGTTCTCATCGTGGTTTTGCTATCAGATGAAAGAGATCTCGGATTCCCTGCTTGATAGAACGCAGGACCAGTTTCATGGCAATGAAGCCCATTTTGTACAAGGACGCACTCATGCTGTCTTAGCTGGCCCATGGTGTAGGCTGCTGTTTGGCTTGCGCCCGAGACCTGTCTTCGAGAGTCCTGTAGTCTTGCTTCAAGCTGGTCCGGAGATCTTGCATGTAAGTCAAGACAGGCGCAGAAGCACGGCGAGGACAGCCACAAAGCCTTGACAGGTGGTGTTCTTTTCGATGCGTAGCGGAGCTTTCAGGCACAAAGACATGATCAGATCAATGGTCTTGCATGCGTGCGCCTCCACTGAAACATTTTTTGCTTTGAGTAAATGGTTTGCATGCGCGCTCTCGACCGCGTGAGTCTCCACGAATGATGGTCTCAGGCCTGCTCGGTTTTTCTTCGTGATATGTTCTCGATTTCCTTTCACGACCCTGTCGTATCACCATCCCATTTTTGGTACTCAAATCTCAATCAGGTACGCTGTAGTCCACAAATGCTCAACACGCGGCGATTGTTCCGGCATCGTTCACCTCAGGGTGTTTACTGCAAAGCACGTCTCCAAAAAGTCAAAAACGACTATAGAAAGCGCGTGCGGTACTACGGGTAGAAGCTGGAAGGGATTGTGCCTGGAGGATGGTCAGGAGAGTCTCTCGTTCTACTCACGTCGTCTTGTAGTGATCTTTCCGAAGCATTGCTGTTCAGCAGTCTCGCTATCCCCTTGACGGTGATACTCTGCCAGCCTTTATCTCCCATGTGTTGCACCCTCTCCCTCTTCTTGCTCATTGCCGCGAATGGGCAAGGCACGGGTATCGGAGGCATGCCGATGGTGAACATGCATCGACTCCTGCTACCTGCCCACGTTCAACAGTGGAAATCCTGGTTTTCACGATGGTACCTGTAAACTCCAACAAGGCTGCATCAGCTACCACAGCGTGATCTGCCATCATGACCAAGAGCATCCTGCCGGCGAGCACAGGATTCGGCGCCATCCCACATGATCGCAATGCCATGCCGTCTCGTGGGCGGAATAGGCGGGCTGAGGCAAGGTCTCCCGGTCAACACGCTTCAGGTAGAGGTTGGAGTGCAGTCCCGCCGAGTTGTCAGTATGGAAACGGTTTCGAGCTCCATGGCAGAGATTCATGCAGAAATAATTGAGGTCTGCAGTAAAGCCAAGCGGTGTAGCATGCGTTGGGGCACCTTGATGGGTGTCTGGCTATTCTATACTTGACCACATCCTCGTAGAACTACTCCGCGACTCACTCTCCCTCTGCCGTCTTTCTCTGAGCGATGAGCACATTTCACCAGCTTGTGGGCACTCTCCGCATGTGCTCGCGCCTCAGAGCCAATTGTGAGCTCGCGCTCTTGATCCACGCCAATCTGATAGACCATTTCGTCTGTCCCTTCCGAGCATCTTCATGCGGGCTCCATCGAGCTCGGCCAGTCATTCGCCTAAAGCTTGCTCGTTGGCTCCAGGCTCTTGCAGATGCCACGATTGGCATGCAATACTACATCCACGTCGCCACGTCGCCACGTCGCCACGTCGCCACCTCCCCCACCCCACCGTCAGGCCAGATGTCACGATCATCGTAGGATGCTATACTTTCATCGGGCATTATTGTTCTGAGCACGCCTTCGGAGCAGTGAGGCGTGCAGCGCGGCAGATCAGACGCTCTCCGGCATGCCCACGCAAAAGGAACGCATGGAAAGGCAAAGTGGGACTGTCGGCGAATGACAGCTCACAGTCGACCGAACACGGAAGTAAGCTTGGGTGAGAGGTTTGTGCGAGTGGGAGTGGCAGCTTTCCTTTGTCAAGTGCCTTGGCCGACGTGCCTGCCCGCGCCCGCGCCCGCGCCCGCGCAAAAACCACGCGCGGCGCGGCGACACCGCACGTGATCTTCTTCACCGCGTATATGAGACCCCTCTTCACCCCACCTGAACTCTCTCATCAGCAACAACAACAATCACATCGACAACACCACCACAGAACAACACCAAACTCTACCAAACACTCCCAAACATCACCACAACAGTCAAAATGGGTGGCTGCGGAAACTCCTCTTGCTCCTGCTCCAGCTGCTCCTGCAGCCCAGGCGACTGCAAGTGCTCCGTAAGTATCCAGGAATCGAGCTGGTGGCGGAGACACGCACAAGGCTAACTGGTTTATGGTCCTGTTAAACAGTGAGCGCGCCGAACATCGAGTCGACGATGGGACAAGCATGACTTCATGACCACGACTCTTGCATGAACTGGCGTTACCAAGTCTACCACGACAGTGAATGCGCATTTGCTTCTTCACTTCACTTCACTTTTACCGACGGAGGATGCACTGAAATTGTGACCGATGATTACGGAGGCATGATTGATGGTTGAGAGTTCTGAGAATGGATGTTTCAGATTCAGAGATACGGCTCATTGAGAATGGACATTGACATCTGAATTTCACTTCTTTGATCCCATCTCTGAGTTTTCATTTTACTGTCATTTCCCTCGCTGTTACCATACTAACTTCTGTTTGCGTGGTTGGCCCATACTCGTGTCTTCCAGCTCCTGCTCGTCAGGCACTCCCTCCTTGTCTAGCTTTCTATTCTCATAAATGATCCACAGCGATAAGATGACCGCAACAGCAGCCACCATCAAGCACATCGCTGCCGAGATCCAAAGTCCTTTCGTGTATCGCGGCTTTTCGCTTTCGGGGAATACGTTGGTGCCTAGCAACGGCCCACACTGTCCTATCGTGGCCAAGATGGTATAGCCGCCACCTCTTTTGCTCTCGCTCGAGTGCATACTGGCGGTCCATGCGAGCAGAAGCGCCACGGATGCGAAGATGCACACTGAGAAGAAGCATGAGAAGTATCTTGGTCCTACACCATCCGCCGTGGCATTGACAATAAATCCGATCGCAGCAATGGTGGCTGCGAGAGCTACAAATGGTCCTCGAACCTTGAAGCGATCCGACAGCCAGCATAGCAAGACGATCATGAAGAAGCAAAAGACATATGGTGGTGCCGACAAACCATTGGACTGGATCCTGGTGAAGGTCCCAAATTCCGAGATAATCGTTGGCAGGAAAAGTGGCAAAGATGCAAAGGAGACGTTACTGTGGCAAAGGTCAGCAAATCGAGTATGCACGTATTGCCGATAACACATACCAGCCAAAGTACATGATGCCAGGAAGGAACGACTTCGGATCTTTGAATGCTTCCAGCAACTCTTTGAACCTCACACCAGTTTCGCCGCCTTCCTGACCAATATCGAGGCGCTGATTTCTGGCGACCATATGCAGAGCCACCTGCTTCTCCCTCTCGTTCAAGAAAGGTGATGTGCTGATACTGTCCGGCAACACGAACCAAGTCACAACCGCAACAACCAGGGTTGGCAAACCTTCGATCAGGAACAGGATACGCCAAGGAGCGACGGAGCCGCGGATCTGGCTGATACCATATGCCAAAGCACCTCCATAAGCATTTGCCATGGCTGCTCCACTAAGGAAGACGCCATGCCGGAAGCCGACCTTCTCTCGAGGGTAGAAATAGGTCAAGTATAGAGGAACGCCTGGTCCGAACATGGCTTCCGCCACTCCCAATGCGAATCGGCATGCCATGAGTCCGCCCCAATTAAACGCGGTCGCCTGGATGGAGGCCACGAACCCCCAGAAAAATACCGCAACAGCGCAGTATCGGTGGGGCTTGAACTGTTTCCAGCCGATCAAGGTCCATTGCGATATAATGTATGCAATGTAGAAGATGGTTCCAAGAAGGTTGTACCGATCACCGCTCAAGTCGATATCATCCTCCATACCCGCCAGCCTTGCATTTCCCAGGTTGCTGCGATCCAGCACAGCGAGAGAGTAGAGGACAAACACAAGTGGAAGCAATCGCCAATCCAGCTTGCGAATGACCTTTTGCTCTTCTTCTGCGGACGGTGGCACAAACGTGCCATCTTCCTGCGCCAGCTTCAAATTCTGCAGCTGCTCTTGATAGTCTGCGGCCTGGGGGCCTTTCTTTTCAATGTCGCTCATCGCTGGAGTCGAGACACAGAGCTTGCCCGCGGAACAAACAAAACTGGTACCGACCAAGCTCCACCAAACCCTACAACCCAGCACCTTATACTAGCTCTTGATTCCTTCAAATTCGATAATCGCAAGCGGTAATGTCGTATGTATTTCCAAGGAGAGATCCTGCAGGAGCAAGCAGTACTGGAATGGCGGAGAAGAGGAAGACAGAGAGACGCGAATTGAAGCATCGTCCTACCTTCACTACTGTTGAGCCTAATGTTTTCTCCACTTGTGCGACACCGACAACAACGATGATCCCGCGCGCCATCTTCGGTGGTCGCAACTCAGACGCAGCGCCAGCCGTTCAAGATGCGGAGTGCAGGATGCGAGCGCACGTTCAGGTTCCGCTGCCCAGAGCCGTGCTTGCCGATTAGGCCTTCTTCTTGTATCCCTTTAAAGGTTATCTCGGTGATTCTTGGCGAACTAGTCCCACTAATGGTTCCACTTTCTATGTTAATTTTGGTGGTGCGGCGAACGCCGATTAGGCCTTCCTTTGCAGCCGACCTCGCTCCGGATAGGGTGTCGATTAGGGTTAGTAAGGAGGGTAGTTTATAGGCCGCCGCACCCTCAGAGATTAACTTTGCTAGTTAAACCTAAGCAAGTAAAGGAATACAATGCTACTAAGCACACTAAAGCGAGAGGTTTATAGACTATAGACCTATAGAATATAGATACTAACTTATAATAGCTACGTACGCACTTCCGTACTAGGGAAGAGTCTCGTTAGCGCCGTAGGCTCCGCTCGAAAGGCATTAAATTAAGCGTAAAAAAGATACGGTAGCTCGTACTACTACGAAGTCTATTAAAGTAGCGATTGTCGACTGCTAGTAACTAGTCTAAGGCAATTCTTAAGCGCCTTAACAAGGTAGAAGCGTAGGTAAAGGACTTAAGGGTAGATTTAAACGTATAGTAGTAGTAGCAAGCGTAGGCTGTACGTAAGGGGGTTATAGTAAAGGAAGAGCCTACTACTATAGAAGGCTCTTAAATTAAGGAAGAGGTTATTAAAGCCTCCGAGTTTAATTAATTAGCGTCTAATATAGTAGATTTAACAAAGGAAGTAAAGGAGCTAAAGGTATTATTATCGTCGTTATTATAGGCTTAATAGAAGGCCGCCGAGCCGGTATTATAATAGCTAAAGTACTCGTAGAAGTCGAGTTATTAGCAGTTAAAGGTCGGTCGTTAGCAAATACTAGCCTCTAAGCCTCTCGGTAAGCGCGGATATCGTTAATATTATGCTAGTTATAGCGGCATAGACTATATAGGTTATATTTAGGTCCGCAATTAAGGTAGGTCTTCGTAGCCTCGTATTCTCGTCTTCTATATAGGTTAATAGGCTACTACTTAAGCTTCTAACTAGTACGAGTTAGTTTATAGAGCTAGTATCTCTTCGGCTTTATAAGAGTAACCTTTATTATATACCTATAACTGCGATTAAGCCGTAGCAAGTTGTCCGGAATACTATCTCCCTTCTTAAAGTAGTAACGACGAGGCCTCGCTACGCCTGCGTTATAATTAGCGTATATGTAGCTACTCGTAAAGCGGCTATTAGGTGTGCGAGGCAGGCTTCTTGCTACTACTACGGCAGCCTCTCTCTCTACTATTCGAATAGGACCTAATACTAAGGCTCCTTATTAGACTAAATTCTAGGCGAGTTGTATACGGAAGTTACGCTACTATATAAGGGTTGGATCCCTTACCTTGTTAGCTATAGAAGCGTTACAGCATAAGAGATAGGCGTTAATTATAGCTACGTCGAGAAGGAAGTAGAATAGCGGATACTACGGCTTAAAGGCCTTATATTAAGTGCTATAATAGAACCTAAGCTAGTCGTAAATGTCGACACTACCTATATAGTTATTATAATAAGCGGCGTATTTCGGTATATATTTAACCTCCTTGCCTTCGGTCTAGTATAGCCTAACGTAGTTACGAATATAGGCGTTAGTGTCTCTCGGCTTCCGTCGTTCCCTCGATTCTCGGTCTATAGGCTAGTAACTAGTTGTTAGCATTTAAACGAGATTTCTGTCCTACTAGATAGGCGCCGCTATATTATAAATTGCCCTATAAAGCTGTATATCGAAGGGAAACCGTATCGACTTGCGATGTAGCTTAATAGTCTTACTAGAGGGTATCGAGAATAAGGCACCCGCCTACGGCTAGTTCTTCGACCTAGCTCGTACCGTACTAGTTATAGCGATACTATACTATCTAAGGATAGCAAAGAGAGGTATATTATTAAATAGATTATCTAGGTAAACGTAGTAGAATCGCTCCTAGAATAGCAGTTATAATAGAAGTAATAGGACGGCTCTATAAAGCCTCGATAACTGCGACCTAAGGTTAATAGACTGCGCTATAACTAGCTCGGTTGTAACCGCTAGTAGCCTCGCGTAGAGGTCGGCGTACTTGTAAAGGCTCGGCGGAGTATTAACCTAATTACCTATATTAATATTCTTTACCCTTCTACGCCGGTTTCTACCTTTCTAACTATCGGCTTTAATAGTACGACGGTTGCGCTAGCTCCGCTTATTTATTTAGTCCTCGGTAAGCTCTTTATAGACGAGAATTAGACCTTCGAAGCTAGGAGGTATTCTTGCCTTCTTAAAACCCTACTTCTTAGTAGGTAACGAGAATAACTAAGAAACGATAAATCTAGCACAACATAGAGCTAGTATATAATAGCCGATAGGGTAGGGCTTGCCTTTTATTATTATTATATAAGAAGAGCGTCTAGTAAACCGTACGAGGACCTTATCTAGGCTAACGTTAGTACTAGGTGTATAAACCTTCGAAATCCGGCTTCTTAGGTAGTTAGCTATCTACTAAACCTACAACTACGGCGGGTTGCCCTTACTCGACTCGATAGGCTCGCTATACTATAGATAGGCCTTTAACTGCTTAAACCTCTTCTCGGACATATTCTTAGTAATAGAATAAGACGGCTAATATCTATTAGACCGCTAGAAGTCCGACTTATCGTCTATTTAGACAGCGGATATATAAATAATAATTCCTACGAAGATCGCTATCTTATATAGATAGGTCTTCTTCTACCTAGCTCCGGATACTACTACCTTAATTATATTACTATTGTTTATCTTCTTAAACTTCGGATCCCTCGTATACTCGTTAGTATAGAATGCTAACTTCTTATAGACCTTATTAGTCTATAACTGCTAGAAATATCGCTATAGCATATTCTAGCAGTCTTTAGAAGTTAACTTCTCGAAGGCCTTACTGCGGCAATCTACACCTTCGAAGAAGGCCTTATTTAGCAGCAGGCGCACTTCTACCTCGCACTTTATACCTTCTAAAGGCACGTACTTTATACTATCTATTAAACGCGACTAATCCGGTGCTATTGCTAGGTTTAATACGTCTAGCGCACCCTCCTCGACCGATATACTATTAATAATATCGCTAGCAACGAGAGGCTTATTATCTCTGCTATTCGGCTCGTATTCTATACTATAAGTCGCTCTAATCTTCTCGCAACCTGCAACTACCTCTTACGCCTCAATCTCGCCTATTTCCTCTTCCGGCTCTATACCGAGCGCACTAACGTCGTAAACCGCATCCTTATCGATATCGGACTAGTAGCTATCGTTACTATTATCGCTACTAAATAGAGCGCTATTATAATACTAAGAAGAAGCTATTTATATAAAAGAGCAGTTAAAATAGCCTTCGAGGCTTAAAGTTAATCGGATAACTAACAAGTTAAAGAAGAGCCGGTTACGGAGTATAAAAAATAGCAATAGCGCTATCCCTAATACTAGCCTAGCAAGCGATAATTTACTATACTATCTATAGCAAAGCGCGTCCTACATACCCTAGCTATATAGGGGCTCTTATATAAACTACTCTAGCCGACGAACTTTTAAAGGGATATATTTGTCGTTTATTAACTTGCTTTATAAATGTATCTATTACGTTACTGCTTGTAATATTGTATCGAGTAGAGCTTGTAATTCTTAGGCGGTGCATAATATTAGCTAAGTTACTATACTCCTAGCCTCCCCTATAGGCGATGCCCTTAATACTTAATAGAATCGCTAAGAGCTAGATCGCGGAGCCGCTCTACCGAGTATTTAAGGGCCTAGCTACTAAACTAAGCCCTAGCTATCCGCCCGAGCCCTAGTATATCCCGGTACTAGCACTATTGTAGAATCGGCTTTATATAGAATTACGTACTCTTTCTACCTAATATAGGCTATTTCCGTTCTTAGTTAGTATTATTAACAGGCGCGTAGCGCGTTACCTAGAAAGGAATTCTGCTCGAATCTACTATATACCTAAAATTCGCATTTCTTCCCCCTTCTATAGTAGATTGCCTAGTAACTATCGAAAATAGCTAAATCTCTATCGTACGACGAGTTTCTCGAAGAAGTTATCGCTAGTAGCGGTATCGTAGTAGTAGCGGCGGCGGAGGCGGTAGTAGTAGAAGGTATTAAAGGTACTAAAGGTATTAAAGAAGGCGCTAAAGGCGCTAAAGGCGCTAAAGGTACTAAAGGTGCTAAAGGTACTAAAGGTACTAAAGGTACTAAAGGTACTAAAGGCGCTAAAGAAGGCGCTAAAGGTACTAAAGGTACTAAAGGTGCTAAAGATACTAAAGGTACTAAAGGCGCTAAAGGTGCTAAAGGTATTAAAGGTATTAAATCGTAGGAAAAGGTTTAATTTGTCTCGGAGATATATATTTAAGGCTACTTACGCTTACTATCGCTACCGCGCGAGCGTATTAATCTACTAGATTATCGGTTAGTGTTACTACGCCCTTAGAAGCACCTATTCTTGTTAAAGGAGCGCTCTCGTAGTCTAATACTACTTAAGTCGCAATTTCCGTTATATCGAGCCCTCGAGTCGTATATCTATATCTTCGGAAAGGCGACTAGATTCGAGTTTAAGCAGTATAAGCCGTAGAAGAATAAGGATAGTCTTAAATATCGCTACCGCTAGGTATATAG